TTGTTTTTCTGTTTTTACGTAAACCAGCGAGAGAAAATGAAATGGCTATCTTACTTGTTTAATAATCCAAATTAAAAATGTCAATGAAAGTAATTGTAGAACTCAGTTATGAGCTGTCTCAGACTAAAATGCACTGCAGCGTTTTACAACTGGGATTCCGGGGCATCCTGGGGTGCCGCGAGAGAAATTAATTACCGGTAAACATTTTTGTTGTCAATCAATTTTGTGAAGAAAAAAAATATTAAAAGCCTTTATGTATTTTCATGAAGAAATTACGTTGCAAAGACAAATAAGAGTCTTTTTCCCTCACTCACTTTACTTGCCTACAACATTTAGAAACAGTAGAATTTTAATTAGGCAGTGAAGTGCCTGAATAGCTACATAATTAGTCTCTTTTTGCAGCGAGGTGCTCAAATATATCTTACATTTTTATATCAAAATTGCCTTTTTACCACACTTGTTCGCTTCACTCGCCCTAAACATTTAGGAGCAGGATGATTCTGGACAACAAGATGACCGAATATCCTAATCTTATTCATGAATCGACATGACCAAATACATGTATATGATTTGTTATTCATGGTTTGGGCAACTAGGCTCCTGCATACATGATACCATATCTTATCTAGTGTTTTTCGTTTACAAAAGAACACTCTTACCACTTTAAAAACATCATTGTTATTGCTCACTCGCTTCGCTCGCTCCTAAATTTTAGAAACAAAATGTGTCCGTACGTTTGTACCAGAGTGATGGGAAGTGAATCTTCTGTAAGTAATTTGGGAATTAGGGCTACAGGAAACTTTTTATGTTTCAAGAGGGTGCTGCGACTAGAGAAAGGTTGAAAAACGTTACACTACAGTATGTCGGGGTCGCTGTTTCCTTTCCATATGCATTTCATGCATGATATTTAATTTTGAAACACACGTCTAACAGCCACAAAATATGTAAACTTTTTTAGAAAGCGGATTCTTATCATCATGCTGTTTTGAACTTCAATATCATCACACAAGTTTACATTTAACTCAGTATTAGCCATTCAAGTATTCATAAACCCTAGTACACGTGTTAGCTGTTTGCACCCGGAATGTCAAGTACATAGTCAAACATGCAATGACATACAGAATTACTCTAGACCATTCCAGATTGACAGTGTAAACAAATAAAGAGTGAAATCATCTCATCAACCATTTAAAAAGTATTTCTAGTTGCTAATTGTGATGCGGTTAGTGCAAGATGCTCGATGACAATCTTAATACTGGTTCATTGTGTGTTCAGGATCAAGAAAGTTTAGAATCACACAGCGATACTACTTTCGCCAGAGGCCTGAATCCTGTAGAAGCAGGTTAGTGTATTTTTTTTAATACTTTTTTTGTAAAGTTTGTTTTGTGTTTTTTTGTTTTTTTTAAGATAAAGACCAGTTATGGTCATGCGAAATTGTGAAAGAAACGTAGTGGCATCGATCAGAAAAAGGTTGATCATCTAGCATATAAGTATTGGTGTGTACTGCAAGGTTCTGGAATCATCAAAATTATAAGAAATTTGGCCCAGTCTTCGTAAAGTTACAAGTACTGTACACAGAAAGATATATATGGGACTACGCAAACGTGCGCGACATGTGCGTTTATCTCTCACAGTCCAATAGATAAACTAATATACCAAATATATCAATTATAAGCGGTTTCCCGGCAAAATTGTTATCATCATGTATTAGTCACAACATATTCTTTCAAATGATTGGTAATAAGAGTTTCCATTTCATTTTTGAAATTGGGGCGTTTCCAATACTGGTCTTTACCTTTAACCCTCGATCAATCCTTAAATCATCATCCATAAGATATAAAGTATCAATAAAATTTGATAAAAAATGAGTATTTACCTGTCCTTTGAAAGTGTTATCACAGAATTTTTGTCAGTCACATGAAATATTGTCATAATAACGACTATGATAAAAAATTGTCACATTTCAAGGTCTTATTTAGGTGGTAGAATGAGAGTGCACACACACCACTCCCCTAGAGCGTATTTTGAACAGGCGCTTTTTTTACAAACGCACACATGCCAATCTAACCACATTAACATTCGCATCCTTCTTGGTACCCATTTAACACCTGTGCGGAGAGTGGCAGATGTAGATTAATTATGAATTAATCCTGCAAGCACATATATGTATTTCTTCTTTATTACAGAAGAATTTGTCTTGGATAATGTGGAGGCACCCAAGGCTAAAAAGGAGGATGTCAATATGCCAAATGAAATAGCAAGTTTGGTGGAGAAAATGCTTAAGGAACAGGTTCACCAAAAGGTAGAATTCTATTTTGAACCTTGGATCTTTATGTGGGATAATATGTACAAGATTTTCTACAATGCCTTTGTTTTATTCCAGAATCTTCCACTTCTGTGTTCCATGTTGTTTTGGAATCTATATCCTTGCATGCAGGGGGCCTCGCCAAATGGGGGTGTGGGGTGGTGCGACACCCCCCCCCCCCACCTGTCAGGATATTGTCCGTAAAATTGCGCTGCCGTTGGGGGAAAAAGAGAAAAGGGGGAGGGAAAAAAGAGAGGGAAAGGGAAAGAAAAGAAAAAAAAGAAAAGGAAAGAAAAAAAAAGAGGGAAAGGAAGGAAAGGAAAAGAAAAGAGAAGAAAGAAAGAGAAAACAGAAAAAGAGGGGGGAGAGGAAAGACAGGAAAAGAAAGAAAAGGAAAAAAAAAGGGGGTAATTAATGGAAACAAAAGAAACAGGGGATGAAAGAGAGGAGAGAGGGGGAGGTAAGAGCCTGCGAGAGGAAGAGTGGGAGTAACAGAGAGAAGGGGATTGTTGGGTGGAGTCGTCTCGCCGAGGGACCAAGAAAGACACATGTAAATATGTTGCTGTGTCGGGTCAGCTGTGTCGGTATTCTTGCTAGATCCTCGTGTACTATATCGATGCTGAAGTTTGAAGTCGGTGAGATTTATATTGTCGGTCGGCCGACAAGTTTTTTCCCTACGAACTGTGACTTTTTATCTGCTGTGACTACAACTACAATACTTGTATTTGCTCGAAGTTTACTTTCCTATAATATCAGCTAAAGTAATCAGAGGTTTGAAATTTTTGGGGAAACTAAATTCAAACGAGGTTTAAGAGTCAACAACGGTACGACAAATCGTCTTCCTTTCTCTATATTGTGATGAAACGCCAAAAAATTCCGTTCTTGGCGCGGAAGGTGAAAACTTCATTTAGGCGAGTCGAGAACGGTACAATGAATCGTCTTTTTTATCTAATAATTTAAGGAACCGTCAAAGCTTCCGTGCCTCGCGCTAAAAGGGGAAACTGAATTCAGACAATAAGGGCTTATTAAGAGTAAAAAACGCTACAACGAATCACCTTCTTTCTCTAATAATTTAATGAAACGTCAAAACTTCCGCGCTTCACGCGGGAGGGAGAAGCTTCATTCAGACAAGGATTAAGAGTCGAGCACGGTTCAATGAATCGTCTACTTTCTCTATTTTGTGATGAAACGCCAAAAAATGCCGCTCTTGGCGCGGAAGGTGAAAACTTCATTTAGATAAGGATTAAGAGTCAAGAACAGTACACCGAATCATCTGCTTTTTCTCATAATTTAATGACACGTCAAAGAGGGGGGAGAACTTCATTCAGACAAGGATTAACAGTCGAGAACGGTACTATAAATCGTCTTTTTTCCTAATAATTTAAGGAAATGTCTAAGCTTGCGCGCTTCGCGCGGGAGGCCTAACATCCACACCCACCTCTAATGAACGTGCTCTGCTTTTTAAGTGATTCGCTTGCTCACTACTGCCCCTCCCTAAAATAAGATCCTAGCTCCGCGCCTGCATTAAAATATGTAGCTATGATGCTGACTAAGTTGACGAAATAATTTGTATATTTATGCAGTCGAGGAAAATGACCATTTTCTGATACGCAAGTATAGATAGTCCATAGGAAAAAACAATTTAGCCTTCGGCCCCGGGTTAATAGGGTTAAATTTGAAGATATTGGACATTTAATTTTGTCGGTAATTGGTGGCTAGTTTTGTCTGTAATCAGTGGCCTCTACACCCCCCCCCCCCATTGAAAACAGTCTAGCGACGCCCCTGCTTGCATGCATAATATATCCGCGTGTTATCACAAAATAACAACTTACTGGTAAGAGTGACCTGTAGCAGAATGTAATGAGTCTGTTTCTTTAAAGACGCAACAAACCACATTTTTGCGAAGCTTACAGAATTTACCAGGTTCAGTATATGACTATCTCGAAAGTGACTGTTGTGTAACATGACATCTTAAACGTTAATGGTAACAGAATGGTTTCTACAGAGCTATGACTGCCAGCATCACATATATATCCACCTCTGACAGCGGGTATGCTAATCTATAACAGTTAATGATATCACCGGATTATGTGTTACCGCATGAGTGTATATGAACTGCAGATTATCCATTAGACCCAGAAAGATGGAGAGATGGAAAGTAACAGTATTTCCAAATCCAAGAAAACATACATATGAGCATACCAGCTGATCTCAATCTTATTTGGTGTCAGGAGTGGGATGAAAAATCGATGTTAGATCCTGAGGCACATGAGAGTGAGAAAGATGTATGAAGGGGAAAAAAAGAAAAATTACCTTTATTGCAAAAGATTTCCATAGAAAAAATATCTTAAAAGGGAACAAAACCCCTTTTTTGTTTTACTTGCTGCTCCTTCAGAGACATGTTGGACTACTTCATAAATACTTGTTTGCTGCACTGGAGTGAATAAATATATACAGGATACAAAATGCTTATTTGCTTATGGGATGATTTTGCTCCGGCATACTCTGCTATTTAAAACATGATGCTACAGTATGTGATATAGAAGATTTCTTCATGATACAAGTTTGTACAAAGTGGTATTGAGATTGTCTTTAGGATACTGATGTTCCCATTATTTTTAATTAATTGTTTTTGATAATTGTTCATATAGATGTATATTCATTTGCTTCATTCCTCAGGAGAAAGGAACAGACAGTACTGAAAGCGGTCGAAGAGAACGAGTCTCACTAAGTATATGGGACTTTGCCGGACACGACATATACTACACAACCCATCAGGTAAAAGAACATTTTAAGAACATTAGATGCCTTGTAAATCATAAACTGTGGTGCCATGAAATTAAAGCAAATGCGAAAAGTGTTGTTAAATTCTGGAATTTAAAAAAGATAGAATACATTTTATTGACTACAGTCTCCCATGCATCCAGAATGGCATTCATGTCCTGGGATTTCTGTCTGATCAGTTTCAGTGTAGATATCTCATTCTCAAAGAAATTAGAAATGACTATTATTCCATTGTCTCAATATAATGCTTCAAATTCAGGGCACATGGATTCATGTACTTTTTATAAGCACATTATTACACCCTTATTAAGTATGTGAACAATTCATTTGTCCAGATTTATGTTTCTTGAAAATGTGACATATTGAATACATCTAAAAGTGTTTAACAAAGGTTCTAATTCAACAACTCCACCTTGCATTCATGAGTTATGAAAAACACACAAAAAAAACATCAAATTCACAAGGGGTATGAGTGATTCAGTTGTTAATCGTTCATATAGCTCCGTTTAATCTCATTTGAGAACGCCCCCTATCGGCAGAGTCCAGCAGCCTAACATGTACGATAGCCTATGGACTTTTACCCAAAAAAAAGTTGATAAAAATTCACTTTTTGTTTAAACGAAAAGCACATCCACCCCGACGTACGTTATCACTAGCTCTTTCATTGGAACCCTCATGTCACATTGACTTTTGAAAGTTCACGCACCGTAATTTGATGAAAATAGGTTGCAAGCTCGCCATTGCCTATATAACACATGTACAACAAGTCGAACTTTGGACTCAATTTACCACGCGATTGTAAGGTTATAAGTCAAGCACACAAAGGATAAGATAGATAGATAGAAGATAGAAATGGTTTTTATTAAAAAGATCATCGCAGCCAATGGCTGAATTGCGATCCATTTTACAAGATTATATACAATACAATTGTAATTCAAATTGAAATAACACAAAATATGACATAAATCAATAATCAAACATATAGACATATCATAAAAATTCATTGATCAGATTCAAATTTTTGTTAAAAAAAGAAAGAGATAGGGAGAGGTTTAGGAGAGGGAGAGTTGGAGTCGGATGACAGAGAGAGAAGGAGAGAAAGATAGAGAAGGGGGACGGGAGAGAAAGACGGAAAGAGATAGAGAGGGAGAGAAAGAGAGAGAGAGAGAGTTGAAGAGAGGAAGAGACAGACAAAGGGTACCTTATCATTACAGATGAGGGGAGATGGCAAGAAATATTCAGTAATGCAGAAAATTGAGATAAAAACTATCACAATTCATTCACATGGTTCAATCATAGACTGTGAAATTCTAAAAATATTGGTATTACATTTTATTCAAAAGATTTATAAAGTAAGGAAGAGAGCTGCACTGGAAGCGTTTTGTTTTATATTGGTATTGTTTAAACTTTGATTGAGATCTTAGAGAATAAGTGTTTTGTTGTCTAAGAGGTAAACGTTCTTTAAATTGCGGGTGTTTGACAAGTACATTTGCAAAGTCTATACATAACTGCTTACGTCTTGCTTCTAATGAACATAGATTGGACGTTTTCAATGCTGCTTCATAATTTTCATACTGACGTCCTAAAATGATTTTGCAAGCTCTTTTCTGAATACGTTCTAAAATATATATACATGAGTTTTTGGTAAATTACCATTAAAAACCGGTACTTCTTAAGGCAACGAAACATAAACAACTTCCTATTACACCTTTTTGTGAGATCGGATACAGAAGCATGAATTATCATAGATCACATCTGATTTGTTCATTATGTCCATTTCATCCAACCCCCCACCTTAATTTTTCCATTAAGTATAGGCAAGCATTTTGCCGAGGTAAGCAAAAACATGAATATTCATGAACACCATGGACTATTTGATTATTAACAGAGAGGTGCAATTGTGCACGAAATCAAACTCCCCTACTTTCAGTCAAGTATGTCATTGTATTAGGTTTATAGGTAGGTTTATTTTACTAACTGTTTAATTATCAGATATCAATGATAGTTTAAAGATATGGAAAAGATGCTTTTTTATAATTAGCAAAGCAATCTCACATACAAAATCACTATCAAGTGTCGTCTGATCCGCTGATTGCAGTCTGCTATATACGCGAACTAGCTACGTTTGTGCTGGCGAAAATGAGACAACCGGAGCAATATGTCCCACTGGTCCCTTATTATTATATAAATAAGAGAGCACATAGAAACAATATAGCATGGTAGTTATTAAATACTTATGCATCATTTTTATTCCCTTTTCTTGTAGGTGTTTCTGACATGGCGAGCCATTTATGTGATTGTCTTTGATCTCAGTAGAAGTTTGGATTCTGTCGTTCCTCATGAATCCAGAGACGAGTATTATGCAATGGTATTTCTTTATTTCATTTTATACTGCGTGGTAAAAAAATAAATTATGATTCACAGGGGATAGATACATGGTTGATAGTGTTGTGTTTCTTATTGCCAAACATTTCTTATTTACTGAATAAAGTATTAATATTGTGATAGCTCTTGTTCATTGACATTTCAACTTTTAAAAAATATAGCTTCAACTACCTGTTTCCTTCTGGATTAATACATGTGTAAATTGTTGTTGCAATTAAATCAGTGATATATTAGGTTTTTTTTCCTTTTGAGAGCATTGTGAGAACTTGTTGAAATTTCCATCTCCTAGAAAGTCCATCTCTGTTCAAAAGATTCAAGTTGGCCTACAAGGTCATCCTGCCAATATTCATTCATATTCATATTTATTTCATTTCCAACAGAAAGGTAAACAAAGATATTACATTTGATTTCATACATAATTCATTTTTTCAAGAAACTACACAAATAAACTTTGCACAGAATAAAATTGTTACAAGAATTTGTTAATTTCTGAGGAAATGGGGGGGGGGGGATCCACTAAAAAGCAGTGCTTGTAGGTTGTGGATCCCCCAGAAAAAATAAAAATATAAATGTTTCAAATTTTGCCTAAGAAGACTTAAAAAACACAAGACAATATTTCAAAACAACGTACAATTTACAAACACGAAACGAACAAGGAGAAGTGAAACAGATAAGAAGGAAAGGGGAAAAGGGGGAAGGAAGAAGAAGAAGCAGGACAAATCATGACCGGAAAAAGTAAGTTATAATGTTAATTTTGGGAAGGTAAGATCATAAGACCAAATAAATATTAAATTAATCGAGCAGATGATGAAGACCTTAATGAAAAATTAAGATGATTACCAACTGTTATCAGATTATTCTTGTATATTACTATAAGATTTGAGCAAAAATGTTTTTAGATTTTTCTTGAAAAAATTTAGGGATGGACTATTTTTAATACTTTCACTTAGAGAATTCCAAAATCTAGGACCATCATACATAAAAGACTTCTTCGCTAATAAAGTTCTAAAGAGTGGAAGGTGAATCACTTTCACAGTAGGGCATGTTATTAAAAGCGATCAACTTTTGAGAAAAAAAATTACCAATCATAATAGCTGGTAATATTTTACTATTACAAATCAAGGAGTACTGCTATTTCTCTTGATGTATTTGTCCTCAATATTATATATTATATTATGAAGTTTTTATAGAGGATTGCCAGGCTTCAAGCTTAGTTTATGTTGCAATCCTTCTTCATGATTATTATATGGTAATATTACAATGTAAGTACATAATAATAATAATTGATTCTTGTTGAGGGCTATTACAGAAAATCTCAAAAGAACGCTATTACAACCGAAAAGAAACATACAAATCATAACAATAAAATAAGGAACAGTAATTTAGATATTATGAACAAAATGAAATTTAGAAACTCAAACCTACATTATGGATTCAAGATGGAAAGAGTTGGGTTTTAAGTTTCTTTTGAAAGTGTCTTTTGTACTACATAGGCGGAGGTGTTGTGGTAGAGTGTTCCAGATGGATGGTCCAGCATAAGAGAATGAGCGTTCGGCTGCCTTGGTGTTGGTGCTTTGGATCAGTAACAGTGTCTGATCGTTCCGTGAACGCAGATGGCATCTGGAAGCTGGAGGAGTAGATAGCATATTTGACAGATAGTGTGGAGCAGTATGAATCATGCACTTGCATGTACACTAAAAGTGCTAGTTTGAATTCAATTTGTTCTTTTCTTTGCAACAAGCACCAGGTGAGCCGCTCGATTTTGGATTTTTTTCTTTTTTCTTTTCTTAAGTCTTTTTAGATCCTCGGCATTCAACATTTGCCAAAAAGGAATTTTCATTATCAAGCCTGCTCAAAACTAGAGAATGTACTTCATGACTACAAGCTTTACCTGTAAGGTACTTCCTCATATGACAAATGTTTCTCAGATGGAAATTGGCCACCTGAAACACTCTACGAATATGTTTCAACATTGACAAAGTCTGGTCAAAATAAACGCCAAGATTGTTAACAGTTGTTGATGGATCAACAGTGGTGTTTCCAATCTGCAGGCTCAAATCACCTGAAGGGCGTAGTCTGCTGGATGACAGAAGGATGATTTCTGGTTTGTCTTCATTAAGTTACAGCATATGGCTTGTCATCCATCGACTCAACTCGCCTATACATTTGTCCAGTTTATTGCAGGCTAAATCGAGACTAGCCTGATTGCCTGGATCAAAACTCAATAAATCTGAGTATCGTCTGCGTAAAGGTGAAACTGGAGACTATGGCGTTTGATGATATCTCCAACAGGTCGGATGTACATCGTGAAGAGCTGAGGCCCAGATACTGAGCCCTGCGGAACGCCGTTTCTTGTGTAATGAGTTTCAGAATATTTCCCCTTCACAGAGACACGTGAAGAACGTCCAGTGAGATACGATGTAAACCATTGAAGGGCTGTATGCTTTATACCATACTCAGTCTGAAGTCTGAATGCAGAATAGAATGGTCTATGGTGTCAAAGGCAGTGCTCAGATCTAGTATCATAAGAAGTACTGCCCTCTTCTTGTCAGTCTCTTGAAGAATGTCTTGCTTTACACGAAGCTGTTTCCGTGCCGTGGAAGAGCTTTTATGCTGACTGGAAATGTCAAGAAGCTCATGATCACGAAGATACAACGATAGTACATGATTGTGATAATGTGTTAATTTTATGATTTGATTATCATGCTGTAATCGGTTTGTTATTTTGTAAGATAATGAAGATAATAAATCAATTAATCATTCAACAAAAACAAAAACGAAAATCATGTTGGATATATATATATGCGTTACCCTTGTTAGCATGATTACAAAGCATAGTGGTTTGTGTGTTTTTATCATTGGCCTTATCATACATACCTCTTTACAATTAAAACACAGGCTAAAGGAGGTGCCAAATCAGAACTGACATGTCTAGAGTTCATCAATTTCTGGTTGTGTTCCATCTTCACCCATGCTGTGGCACCCTCCTCGGTCAGGAGTAAGAATACGTCTAAAACAGCCCAGAAATCTCCACCAATATTCATCGTTGGAACCCATCGAGAAAGTGTGAAAGGAGATGCAAAAGAGAAAAAGAAAAAGGTAATGGTTTATGATATACATGTACATGTATTTCGGTAATGAAATAATCATTTTTTTTAACCCCAGGAAGATCCATCAGTATCGGCTGTTCCTCCTGACGGTCCTGCAATTCTTGCTATCGTCAAGAGTATACCCCCGGCCTAAATGCTAAGATGTGCACCTCGTGGTACACATATTTTGCATATACTCTATTTTTATCGTGCAGTGATTTCAAACTTGTCTTGCCTTCGGAGCGACTTTTTCCAGGTCGCATAATTTGGAGGATTTGTTTAAAATTTAACCCAAGTCACATCTCTCATTCAGGGATATCTCTGAAGGTTTTTTTTTGTGTGTGTGTGTGTGTGCGACCAGCACACAACATATCGATTCACAGTATCACACCATATTCCAACTGACAACTCAGTTTGTTAAAAATAGATACAATAATTGCTTACGATATACTATAAAAAGATCCCAAGAGAAAGGTACCACCATCCAACTATTGCTATTACAATGATATATTGACAGCTAACTACAAACTGCCTGACACGCCTCTCCGCGTCCTCCGAATTGGATGGCACAGCCTATAGCCGCACAAAATAGACCGAAAGCGACTAAGTCACCAAGCTATCCCAGAGTGAGTTTAAAAAGGGGGTATGAAACTACATCAAGGTATTTGAAGGCATTGACATAGCGAGAATCTTTATACCTCCGAAGTTGCCAGGTACCCATTTCCACGAGGGTGAAGAGTGGCAAATGTTGATTAATGTCTTGCCAAAGGACGTTAGTTCCGGGTCGGGACTCGAACCCTCTACCCCTGCATTCTAAGTCAGGTAACTGCCTCAATATACCACAACACCTCTACCTACACATGATGTGTTTTGAAATGTGAGTGAGAACAAACGGGCAATAACATGGAGGATACCCTCGATTGATTGATTGATTGATTTTTATTTGTTAAGCTTCCAACATAAAACAATATACAAGAATAGAAGATAAAAAATTAAGTCAACTTGAACAGGATAACCCATGAAAGCTCAAGATATTATTTCCAGTGGGGTCCCTGACATACATGAACAAAATTATTAAGTTAAAATAGTAATATTTAAAGACAGATATGATAAGAAAAAAAAAACTTATTAAAGATAAGAATGATAATAATAATAACATTAAACTAATGATGGAATGATAATATGTACAAGAAGAAAAAAGAGAAGAAGGAAAAGTACTCTTCAAGATAGATAGGTTTATTAAGTAACTTAAAGGCTTATATAAAACCTTCGCACCATCTTCTAGAAATTTAGCTGGAATCATGTCTAACCCAGTACTTTTTTATACATTCAAGTTACGTTACTCTTTGAAAACAAATTGTTCACTGATTGGTAATGACTCGAAGCTGTTTTCATGTACACCTTTTCTTTCGTAAAAATCACGATACAATCATTGTCTGCGATTTGGAAGGGGGGAGTTTGTCTACTAATTTGGCAGCCACATTTTTAAAATAAGAATTAAATTCATAGTGATGGCCATCTTATCATGACATAATTCCCCATGGATTGTAATGACAGATTCTTGTTCTTTTCAGACTCTTTCTATAATATAATATAATTTTCAGGAATTTTTCATATCGTCGGTGGGGTGACAAAACCTCGTATCTCAATTTTTTTAGATTTAGATTTTTTTGCATAATTTTGTAGCTAATGGTCTACGACACCACCTGATAAATCCATGGAACGCCTCCTGTCTCGGTTTTTCACAAATCCACACAAACACCCTTAAACTAAACCTCGTAACTTTCCATGGAACGCCTCCTGTCTCGGTTTTTCACAAATCCACACAAACACCCTTAAACTAAACCTCGTAACTTTAACCCCCTTTGAAGCTGCACTGACAAAACCTCGTAACATAAGATACGTAATTCCTTTTCCTTGTAACTCACACACGGCCTAACAGTACCGAAGTTAGTGTATTCAAATCCTCGTAACTTATTCAACCAAAACCTCTTAACTCATTCAGAGTTGAAAGTAAGAACTCGTATCTCAATTTGAATAACAACTAAAAACTCGTATCTCAATGTAGATAAAAGCAAAAACCTCGTAACTCACTTTCAAATATAAAACAATTATTTTACTGTATTTCAACAATGGCATTAAAAATTGTATAAATATTCCAGTTTTAAAAAAAAAGGACGGTGTCACAGCACTAAATTTGTTGAGACAGGAAAGTTTTTTCGCTCTCCTGAAAATTCATGATTTTTGAGATACGAGGTTTTGTCACCCCACCAACGATATGCTACATTTATGTCAGATACACATAATACATTGACCCATTCTTCTTGGGCTACATCTAAATTTAACGATTCAATATTTTGCTTTTTTTATTTTCTATGCATTGTACAATTATTTTAAGTCATTTTTTGAAAAAAGTGAACTTTAGAAATAATAAATATTGGTAAATGGTCAGAAATATCGTACTACATCAGACCATTTTTAAAATTATTATGAGCTACATTCGAAAAAATATTTACATCTGTACATTCAGTTATTCCTGAACAATCAACAGCAGATTGTTGAAGATAGAAAGTTTCTTCTGTATATTTTTCATGGATCTGATCATAAGTCCTGTGATGACCTATAGCCAGACTCAAATTTTCTGTGTACGGTCGCTAATACCAAGATCAATGACACCACTTTGACTTATTTTGTTTTCTTTGCTACAAATAAATGATCCAGTAGAGAGGAACACGTATGTGTAACGCGCGTTGCGTCTATAATGAGTTGACTAAACCTGTGAAGACTCAACAAGTCAATATATTTTTAGCCAGTGGCGATTTGTGAAGAAGACAAATATTCATGTCTCCTAAAAGAATAATTTTGTAATCTTTCTTTAAAGGGACCTGGTAACATTGTTCAGATGAAATATAGTGGTGCTAAGGTAGTGACTTTAATGCTAGATGTACAATCAAAGATAATCTGAACATTTGAGTAAAAACGGACCATTACTATTCATGGTACAAATTGGGAAAAACTGATCTGATCGATTCCTTAATTCTCCCAACTATATATAATCACAATTTAATTACATTTTAGGTGAATGTAAATTGTCACAAAGCAATAAAATGGCTCACATTCCATTCCAGACATTCAAGTGTTGACAGATTTTGTTAGCCTGTTTTATGTCTTTTTTTCATGGTAAAACAGTTGGGAAAATTCAAAAATGGTTGGGAGAATTTACTGTTAATCACTGTTAGAAGGTGTCATACATTGACGCCTTCAAAGATAACCATAGATATCTTTGTGGTTTGAGAATTTTTTCCAGGATTTTTTGCATGTCAGAGGGTTAGTATACAGTAAAAGGAATATAGAAAGTAACATTTTATACAAAAATTAAGCAATTTTTTTCATCAACCTTCAACAACGTTACCGAGTCACTTTAATATATCAAGAATATTGAACAATTTCTCAATAAACAAATTGTTTTTCAGAGGTCTATACAGAACGCCAACAAGAATTGGTTTTGATCTTGGTATAAGCAAATTAATCCACAGGGATCCCGTATCTCCAGTACTTATAGCATCAATAATATTAAATGCAATATCATTTCTGATATAGAAACATACACCACCTCCAGAGCCAGAGGATCATGGCGTATGATTTTATATTCGTCTATTTCAATTTCTTTATCATTTGTGGAATTATTTAACCACGTTTCCCTGAAAGCAATAATAGACAGCCTTTAAAAAAATATTTAGAAAATTAACTTCCGATATCTTGTGTAGGATAGACCTCACATTACAGTTTAAAAAATGAAGACCTTTTAAACCTTTCTTCAAATTCTTGATAAAGAGAAGTGTTTTCATCTGTGAGGTTTGGCTGAATTGTCTTGCTTATCGCTTGCTTTTCAGGTGTAACGCGTGTTTCCTTCACATAATCCTCAGTAAAAAAATGAATCACAAACAGATGGCAGACAACACTTTAAACAATTCCACTTCTTACCTGGGCATTCATAATATAACCTACGGTACTCTGATAAACTTATAGCTTGACAATCAGTGTAAATTTACCACCTTTTACAATCAGGACAAAGAATTAGGCTGTGTTGATTACATTTGACTGGCTTATCACAGTTCCCAAACGGGAACTTTCATTTCCGACCCTCAACTTTCTTTTTTGGATCATCAATTGATTTTGTCAGACTTTCACTTAATCAATCATTACCCTTCTTACAAATTGAAGATATTTCTCCCAGTCTTTCATTTCCATCTTGGATGGTCTGAAGGCTGGTTTCAGTGGTGACCTCTGACCGACTGCGCTGAAATCCAAAAATATCCCAGAAACAGCTTCAGCATAGGATCTTTTTGGGCTGCTTCTTTGCTCTTCAGCATGAAGACTCTGGTTTTCTAGGTAGATTGCTTGTTGGTGATGAGGCCCCATCTGTTCTCGCTGGCTGCCAACTCCATCAGATAGTTGATCTCATCAACCCGCTTCTTGTCTGCTTCACTCTCCATCTACGATTGATGATCGTTGAGACTGAGACATTAAATCCCTCGGCAGCAACAGACTTGCCGAGGTCTGTGATTTGGTGGCAAACTTCACCAGCACCCTGGAGATGTTGTTGGTGCCAGAGTGAATGATCATTTCTCCCCCTGGCTTGAGATACTTGCAAGGCGAAGAGGTGAAGATGTCTCTCACTTTTGCACCAGGGAAAGAGACGCACTTCACATTCTTGCTGCGGGGAGATGTCTTCGGTCGATGTGTTTGATCATCGAATCTCCGACCACTACTACATCGTGTTTGTTGCAGATCACACAATGTCGGTGGCGGTAGCCTTCTATCTGCTCCTGGTATGGCGGTGAAGTAGTGATAGTAGTACTAGTAGATGTAGGCCAAGATTCTTCTTCACTATACTAGATCATGGAGTCTCTCACTAGTAGAACATCACACTGATTTTGGGTGTTGTTGGTTTAGAGAAAGACTTTAGGTGCTTTGCCTGGTATTCATGAAGTTGACCTCTCAGTGGCATTGATATCTGTTTGGGGAAGACACTCTTGGCACTGTTTTTGGATAATATTTCAAACTGATCGTGCGTTGCAATTGTCGGGAAATCAACATGTGGTGGTAAATACTTGTTGTGCCCACAGATTCCCTTGTTCATTCTCCTGACCGTTCATATGTTGTGCAAGTACATTGCTGAACTTCTTCTCGATTGTGTCTAGGCGACTATTCAAGTCTTTCAGCTGTTTTAGTACATTCTGCAGTAGTTGTCGGTAGTCCACATTATCCTAGAAGACACCATCTTACATTTCTTGTTTATCCTCCTCTACAACTACAGCGGCATTAGTGTTCCTTATTTCGTCTCTTGCATTTTGCAATTTTTTAACAAGGATTGCCTTTACTCCGTTTGCGTTTAAACTTTTTTTTTGTAGCTTGCAGAACGTAGTTGTTTCACACGGAGTCCACCTAAGTTTGTAGGCGCGAAGCGTTGCTATATGCGTTGGTATGGTCCTTTGCGTTACTAGTATGGCGCAATAAATTTGTGCATAATGTTTGGATGATACGCAGAATGTCCAAATTTGAAATATAAATTCGGTAAAATGATTAAAAGTGACCACAAAAAATATATATCTCGGAAAATGTTCACATACTATCGAAAAGAGTGCAATGTCCCCCATCATATGAAAATTTCCAAGATGTAAATATATAACAGTCAAAAGAAAGTGCACTACAAATGAAAAAAATATGGAAATTTACGGAGCACCGAAAAAACATGTCTGTCCTCTCCAAAATCTTGATATATACTCAATTTACAATAACAAGACCGAGACCAAAACAACAAAGATCAAACAAAAAGTACCATACCCTGAGTTAGACTGACAGCTTCAGTCTCTGATATCGTTGGATGTTCACTCTTTACGTCTTCATATATCCGTTTCGGCTGCAATATTACACTCCCCGGTTATGTAAAATATAGCAAAAACTGAAATATATACTATGACTTACGTTAGCTTGCTCATTTAGCTCCTGAATTAACTTTTAATTCAAGAAACAATTTTCTTCAACATGAGTCGTTGTCAGGTTGCCAAATGTCAGTTTTATTAAAGAAATTCCCCATACCAGATGGTTATAACCCTGAGTGGCCATTACATTGGTCATTCAGATTCAGTTAGACAATTGGATTGGATTGGAGCAATATCTGATTAAAAGGTAATGAATTTAAACAAATATTCATTTCATCTAAACAGTTTTTTTTGGTCATACGTGCACCCTAAATTTAATCATTACAAATATGTTTTTACACTGATAAGCTAGAAAATGAAAATTCATTAAATTTGTACTACCAAACAAGTGGGAGAGGACCTCAAAAGATATGTCACAGAGTTGCCAAATTGTGTTTCATTGATAACAACTTCAAAATGTTTAGACACATTTTTGTTCAATTCTTCACTGATCTGTTACTCTCATTTTTTTCCTTGTATTAAAACCGATGAGAAATCATGGTGGACTTTAATTGCATCATGCTATTTCATATTTGCATTCTTTGTGTTTTCATAGATCATCATGTTCTCATCTAAAGTGGTCGAGGTTTGCATTTTGACTAAAATGTGTATTTTCTGTTCATTTCACTCTTTTTGTCTTCTAGATTGGCTCTGCCTTTAAGAAGATCCGTGAACATATCATGAAGAAGCCGTTTGAATGCCACGTGGTCCCCAAGTATTACGCCATTGAAAACAGCTTAGAGGACAAAGATGAAGAGGTACATCACAAACGAGAAATTTAAATTGTCACTGAGGACGAATTAGGTGGTCTGTTATTTAATCTGAATAACTGGAAGACTATAAACATCTTTGAAGGAGATAAAATCATAAACATGGGACGAATTGATGTTGCATTTTAAATTGATGATCATGATGATGGTGATAGGGATGATGACGACTAACGATTAGGGCGCACTCATGCCTTGTAGAATCATGATGTGAATGAAATTCACCTTCCATAGGCATAACACGCAGATGAAGAACATTCTGACACATCACCTTAAAGATAAACTTTAGTACTGGTAATGCGATTGCATTGTGAAAGAAAAGGTGTGGAAAGGATCAAAAACAGTTGATCATGTAGCAAGTATTGGTGTGTACTGCAAGGTTCTGGAGTCATCAAAATCATAATAAATTTGACCGAGTCTTGGTAAAGTAACAAGCACTCACATAGAAAGCTATATATGGGACAACACACATGGTGTCGGGGCTAGTACTATCTTGATTTCCTTGTCTTTCTATGCTCATTACTCAGCCAGTATACATTTTCTTCCAAAATTGTTTGGCACATGTCATTTATTTGTAATCTTGAACATTCAGTGTAAGTTTCGTTTGATTCTGTGAGAATTTTTTTTCTTTTACCAGTACTGGAGTTTATCTTTAAATGGCAAAATGAAAGGGACTAATCTTGTAAAAAATTGTCTTAGCTACAACATATCAAAATTTGGAAGAAAATCAATCAACATTTACAGAGATACAATCAATTTTCCATAAATATGATGACGTCATAATATGCAAATTCGTATTGTGAGTTCCAAGGCCATTATGATAATGTCACAATAAACTTCAATAAAGGCCAAATGAGACATGAAATCATAGTTCCGACTCATACTCTATCCTGATATGAAGAAAAAAATTGGGGGTCCCGGTGCATCCCAAAGAGCTATAATGGATTTTGTATAGGCTTGTTTTTGCCCATATATACTATGTATTACAAGAGCTCGCGCGCACGGACATTCATCTCGAACGAACGCTCATTCCGTTATTAATGGTCATAAAGAGATAAACATGGTATCAAATTGTTTGGAAAAAATGGCGATTCTATGTCGCGTACGGCCATGACAAACGAAAACATGCGCGCATGCGCATGTGTGCGATTTTTTGACAAATGCTCAAAATGGCCTGAAATGTATGCAAAATGAATTTGAGACAATTTGGAGCATTTGTTAATTGCGCGCGTTAATTAACCTGAAATTGACCGTACGGATATTGACCTTGCTCATGCTAAATATGAATGAGAAGTGACTTTCCGTTATGAAGACATGGCAATAACTTGAAAGTACCACCAAAAAAAATGGCATCTGGATGAAAATGTTATTGTCACGTCTCATAACAAGGACCTATGACTGCATGTGCCAAAATTGAAAGAAATTACCAGCACAAAAAAGGGTGAGAAATAAAAATAAGGAAAGAAAGAAAGAAAATTCTGATGAAATCAATAGGTGGTCTGTCAATGTCAATGACAGACCACCTAATAATCATACAATATCATAATTTATAGAAACCCTGTAGCTAAAGTGTATTAATACTGATTATCCATCCAATCCAGTTACATCCAAACCAAAAAGTAAAGTGGCTTTTCCTTGCAGTTACAAAGTACTGCACAAATTGCTCCAAATATTTGGACCACTTCAACGATAATACATGTTTATCACTTCAAAGATTTAAGCTCAGCAGTCCATTGTTCTGTAACAAAATACAATCTACACTTTGTATCTTATCTTGGATCAAGCCATTTGGATGAAATGTGATGGATTTTTAGACTCAGATATTTTTTGGGGGGGCTTAATTGTCCCGATTTTTTAACTATGGCATATATTAAGATGCTCTTTCAAACGCAAAGAGCTGACATACCCACTCTGTTAATATCTGACTTTTTACAAACATAATAAAAGCTGCTCACTTTAAGATGTGATGTTTATTACTTTTTACCGAAAATCTCAATGTTTTGTGATAGTAATCCTAAAATATAACTTCACTCAAAGAATCATATTCTCAAAACTTTTTCAATTTCATGCTAGTTTCCTAGGAGTTATTCAGAAAAATGATATTTCCTTTATTTTAATCTACTGCACATGAAAAAATTATATTATTTAAGTAGTACATGTGATAATACCAACATTGATTTTCATCCACTGCGCTTGACGAAAATCAGTTACAGGTATTTACTACCTAAAGTCAACTGACATTGCTTTAGAAAGTAGTTATTCCACTTAGAAAATTTGACACGAGCTTAATTCTTTAATTGCCTCTGTTAATAATAAAACTGCACAATGTGTTTGTTTTAATGCCTTAATAATTGTGGAAGAAAAATATCACTTCTTTCATTACCCATTGTTGATTCTTCTCCACATGTATGTGCTACATCTGTACAACATCTGTACAATTTCCTCTCTTAAGGTGACATTTTTGTGCAATGAACATGCTCAATTTAATTTATCGTTGAATGACATTGCCTTAATTATTTTGATAAATAATTATCCACATCTTTGTAACATTTTTCTAAATCTTTACTAATATTTCTGTGTGATGCATACATGCCAACTGTTCAGATTAAAGAGGAACATTCCTCTTTTTGGGAGAAGATAATTATCATTTTAATGCAGGTGTTCCTTTTCCTGTACAAATTTGTCTGTAGTATTGAATAGGAGAGTTAGGATTGTTCCTCTTTTTTAAAAATTGGCATAATTTGTACAGATTTCTGATTTTCAGATGTTGGCATGTATGGTGATGTAATCTATTGTTAATTTGTTATATTGCTTTGGTATTTTTAAGTTTCATTATGATGTAAATATCTAATCACTTTATAAAACAGACAATATCAGCCTGCATGTCACGTTCTGTTTTTTTAAATAATTAAACCAACCAATACTTACTTTCCTTTGTAGCTGGTCGCGTTGAGGAGACATATTGAGAAAGTAGCGATGGAAGAACCTTACATGGGAGAAGAGATTCCACTCAGATGGCTCTTATTTGAGGAAGCTCTAGCTGCAGATAAAATCAACTACATGTCATTAGATCAGGTAGGACTGCAACGTTTATTCTTGCCATTTTCAAATATTTTCGTCATAGTTACGTACAACTCTCATGGTATTGTTGGGAATATGTAATGCTCTATTATTTAAATGCATCAATGATACCATTTCAATTTTGAAAATGGCCCTTTTTATGCCTGTCTTTAATAGGATATAGTGCCTTTAAAAATCTTGGCACAAGATTCAGGCTATATGTTGTCTTCTGTAAAATTATTGCTCTATTATTATAGTTATATTCTGTATAAGCCCTGTGTAAATTAAATGTAATCTCACTGTTATATTTATTTATTTATTTGATATATACTATTTGTGATGTTTTTAACCAATCATAAGATGATTTTGAAGCAATTTTTTTTTATTTCTCCCAGACCAAGGAACTGATGCAGCCAGTCATGATGAATTCAGAGCATGAACTTCTCACGATGCTGACCTTCTACCACGACCTGGGTTATGTAGTCTACTACGGAGGCATTGGAGACCAGCAGTCTCTTCTAAAAGACATGGTGATCCTGAATCCTCAGTGGCTAATTGATGTCTTCAAGCAGGTCATAACCATCCTGGATCCTGCAAAGAAGGTGAGAAATCTCCTACTTTACAACCTCATTCACTCTTGCCGCAGAAAGCTGCAGCAGGTTTTTTTTAAATTACGAAATGAATGGGAAGTGGACATCAAAAAACTAATTGCATACCACAAAGGTCCTATGCAGTCTCTCCTACGAAACATCATAGGATGTGGCTAATTGATGTCCTCAAGCAGGTCATTGCCATCTAGTCCAGGCTAGAGAGCAAGGAACCTCGTTTTTTTATATATACGTTTTTTGATGGTTTCTTGTCAATTCAAGGGTGCTGATTCCAAATCCCATGAGTGCCAGACGCGAAACCTAAAGCATTTCTTGTAAAATGTGAAAATTCAAAATGGCCGCCAGGACATTCATCATGTTGCTTGATGTTTTTTTTGCAAATCGATGGCGCTGATTCCAAAACCGTTGATTGCCAGATGCTAACGAGATGCGAATCTCACTAAATCACTTATTATTACGCAGTTTCTTAATTCTTATCATTATAGTGTACAAATTGTTTACCTTAAAGGTAAAGACCATGTTCTGGTCATGCGAATGCATTGTGAAAGAAACGTTGTGGAATCAATCAGAAGAGGTTGATCATCTAGCATATAAGAATTGGTGTGTATTGCAAGGTTCTGGAATCATCAAAATGATAAGAAACTTGGCCCAGTCTTGGTAAAGTTACAAGCACTGTACACAGAAAGATGAAGATGGGACTACGCGACACGTGCGTGATATCCATGCAATCCAGATAGATATAATAAGGCGGTTTACCGGCGAAATTTGTATCATCACGTATTAGTCAAAACATATTCTTTCACATGATTGGTAATAGAGCTTCCATTTCATTTTTTGAGAGTAGGGCGTTTCCAAAACTGATCTTTACCTTTAAGCTCATTTATCTGCAAACAAAGAAACTTTCCTTTATTAGTTTGATTTACTCCTGTCCAATTATAATTAAAATGGCCGACAAACCCAATATGTACTGTAATGTATGCCAACTATATGCATATAAATGGTATACCGAATGTGTGCTTTAATTATCTAGATGTTACTCACACAAGTTTAGATTCAATACTAGATTCCCAGGGTATAGTCTTTATTATGGGTAGCTTAACCATTTTGAGCATCCAATGGTTTATTATTAAAGGGTCAAGACAGCAATCCAGTGCTTCAACTACAGTATACTGGAAAATGCGAGTGATAATAACAGCAAATTTTATCTACCGGTATCCGAGTGGTCCGATACATCAGTTGTGTTGCTTTAACACCTGCATTTTTGCAGTGAATACCGGTACAGCGAACCCAGCAGGCTAGCTAGAAAACATCAAAGTATACTTTTTGTAATGGGAAAGTTATATATGAATAAAATAATGAATAAATGAATATACAGATGATATAGATATTCATTGTAAACCGTATCTTTGTCCTTTATAGATAATCATTTACCATAATTTAAATCTTTTTAGTCTTAACACCTCTATTCAGTTTATATAACGCCCCCATATCTGACATTATTAATAAACATGGTTTACAGTATATTTGCTATGCTGATGATATTCAGTTGTTTACTTCTTTTGATCCACGCTCTCTGGAAAACATTAACGAAACACTTCACCAAATCTCACTGTGTATTGCAGAGATTAGCATTTGGATGTCGTCGAACTATCTCCAACTGAATAATAACAAAACTGAATTCATGGCCTTTTGTTCTTCTGCTCGCCATCTGCAATACATATCAGATATACGGCTTTCTTGTCTTGTCTCTGTTGGCATCCCCCTTTTTCTTTCCCCTTTTTTGTAGTTCCTTTTGTAGTTACAGATTAGTAAATTTAATTACTCATTATTCCTAAGTATCATTTGAGGTGTTCACACTTGTACAAGCATTGCTTTTTAGTGGACCCCTCTGTTTCCAACAATTTTTTCTTACATTTGTTTTAAATGCTTATAATCGATTTGTAATGTTTTGTTGGAAACATAAATAAATTTGAAATTTTGAATTTGAAATTTGAAGTAAATGGTCAATTCATTAATTCCTCTCTCCCCTAAAATTACAGATCTTGGTGTATGCATATGTTCAAATTGACCTCTCATGTAAACCATGTAGTCACTTATTGTAATTATCATCTCCGCAATTTATGGAGGATTTGTAGATTCATTGATTTAAAGACATATCACTGTGCTGTCCGAGCTCTAATTCTTTCTACGTTGGATTATTGCAATAGTCTTTATACTGTTTTATCTGCTAAAGATAGAAGGAAATTTGAAACTGTCCAGAATCGTGCCACTAGATTAATCTTTGGCCTTGGGTCAAGAACTCATACTTCACCTTTACTTAAGGAGCTCCACTGGTTACATCTCCGCCAACATGTTATGTTTAAATTCTGTTTGTATGCTTTTAAAATACTCAATCATTTGGTACCTGAATATCTTAATGACACCCTCCAAATATATACACCAACTCGTAATCCTCGTTCAGCAACCGACACATGTAAACTTAACATTCCCAAATCTAGACTCTCAGCAGCTGAAAAACGCTTTGCAGTAGCTGCATCAAAGAGTTGGAACAACACCCCTCTTTCCATAAGGGAAATTACCTGTCTTGCCACCTTCAAAAGATCCCTCAAAACTCACCTTTTCCCCCAATGATCTATGTGATATACTTCCTGTACTGTACATTTTTGTCCTCTTTTCATATATTTGCATTTGTATTACAGCGCTATGGTACTTATTGTTTTTAGCGCTCCTAAATATTCAATATTGTCATTATTATTATTATTCTATAATAAGAGTGCCGAACAATGTCAAATCTTAGTCTTCACCACTAATATTATGTCGCTGTCACTCTCTTTTGATGTCTTATTCATTTGATGTTGGCAGATCGGAGCAGTGTATTTTATCCGGATAATGCGCGTAGAGAGAAACTGCCTTCGTTGGCATTATACGCTTATTTCTTCAACCGGATAAGTTCTGTATAACTAATAGAAACACACTGATAGAAACATGCTGTATCTTCTTAATTGTGTCATGAAACCCCTCAGCAACTTTATTTGATACTTGTTCATCTGATTGGATCATTGGCATTTACTACTGAATCATCCACACCCTTTACCATGTAGATGTTCACCAGGCTTGAAGGAGGGTGCTTCTCACTGTCAAATACATCTATAAATGGCTTCGATCCAATTCATTCTTTAGTTGTCCAAAGAGGCTGAGAGACGAAGCACAGAGAGCGAGGGTACACTCATTCAAAGTGGATGCGATGATGCCAGAAGGTCGCTTACCATAGCGCGTGTACGTCGTTTCAATGTACATATCGGACCAGATGCCGTTTCAAATAACCTGATTAATGGCCATCACATAAATGTTTTCATAAATTGGCGGCCATTTTGAATTTTTGCGTTTTATGAGAAATGCTCACGGTTTCGCGTCTGGCACTCATCGGATTTGGAATCAGCACCCTTGAATTGACAAGAATCCATAAAAAAACATTGTTTATATGAAAAAAAAACAAGGTTCGGACCCTTTCCTATGGGGCCTAGCCTGGACAAATCCTAAGTTTTGCAGAAAGGATGAGAATTAAACCTTCCCCTCCATTTATAATAATAATCTGGGTCTATACAGAGCTCAGTACATCAACAATGTCTGTATTAGCTTTACATATGAATCATTTCCACCGTCATCGGATTCAGATGTGTTTAATGAAAAATAAAAAATTTGAAGAACAGTACACTTTAAAAAATCTTGAGGTAATTTAGACAATGATAGGACATATTATTTATAATATTGATGTAACAAAGCTATCACTTCACCATGTAGTAATGGTTTACAATCTATACTCCTATGTCCAGTTTTTCCAACTATCATCAATATTGTGTTTTAATTCCAGGATGGAATCATGAATGATGCTTGGACCACTCTTCAGAAGGATGGTATCTTAGAGGATAGGTTGATTCAGTATATGTGGCAAGGTTTTTCAGAGCATAAGAAGGCCTTAGTCCAGCTCATGGCCAAGTTTGATCTCATCTGCGAGGCTCCGGTAGAACGACTCCAGCAAGAGCAACAGGATGGAGTAGACACTGAGGTAAATCTCCAGCTAAATGGTGCTCCGACCCATGCTCCTACAGCAATGACCCAGGATTTATTTAATCAAAAGTAAAGGGTTACGGTTATGGTATATTTTGGGGGGCCATTGCTAAAGTTAGGAACTAGGTTAGGGTAGGATATTACAACCAAAGCAATTATTGCAGGTGCTAAACATCTTGTTTTACTCTAACCTGAGTGTTTCACGTATGTTAACCTCAGAACATTGTGACTAGAAATATACAGACAATGTAGGAGCAAACAAGGGACATGCACCAGCTTTTGTGTATATATATTTATATATATGCATAAGATGATCCGATATTGGGATCGTGCTGTCAAAGGTCTAAGGTCACAAGGATCGATTGACATGTAATTGCAAGCTTTTCGTTCTAAGTGTTCTCGTGGTCGAGTGGTTTAAGGCGCTTGACTGGAGATGCGAAGGTCGAGGGTTCGAATCTCGACACAGCACCAATATCATTTGGCAAGATATTAACCTACTCTTGTGACTCTTCACCCAGGTGTTAAAATGGGTACCCGGTAGGATGCGAACGTCATTGTTAGTCAAACAGTTTTTGAGCTTCAAGTAACCCCTGGCCGGAATGCTCCCTAGGGAGTGGACTTTGTGCACACCTTTTTTTTATTACATACATATATGTGCAAGTATTGACTCAGGGTTGAGAATGGGTACATAATTTCCAAATTGTAAATGTGCTTCATTTTGGATACTGTAGTTTTGTGTTGTGCTGTAAAATGTATAGGGTTTAGTTTCGAAAGTTTTTACAAATGGTATCAAAATGTCTATTTCTGAAATTTGAAATCAAAATTGACCCATAAGCGAGTTTGTAATTAGGCCCTGTGTACATGTGGCGTCAGAGGTCACAGGGTCATTTGGGATAAACTGCAGGATCGCGGGCACTGCGCTTTGCCTTTTCTGGCGCGTGTATGCTATGTGTACAAAGTAAATGAGAATTTGCATGTGTTGTACCTTCCACAGCATTTCAAGATTCAAGATTCAAGATAATTTATTGTCTGATTTCAAAAATATAGAAATTCGTCCTCCACTGGCAAACAACATAAACAATATATAAATATATTCAAGGATACAAAGAAAATACAACAATGATAATAACTATAATGGAATAACAAAACTGACATCATAAAATTGAATCTCAAAAATGCACAAAATGCATGAAATAAAAGTGCTCTGAACACTCACCCCTTCTCTCCCAGAAATATATGAGTAACAAAAACAGAGATAAGAACAAAAGAGAGAGAGAGAGAGGAGTCGCATAGAGTAGAACAGAAAGGAAAAGTGAGGGAGAAAGAGAGGTGACAGAAAATGAGGAGCTCTAGGCGTTGTGGCGTGCGCCTGTAATCCAACTAACAGTGGAAGTTACAAACTGATTCAGCCGAGAACGCACTGGTTCGAAACTGAGTCACGTCTTTCGGATGGTGACGTTAAAAGTCGGTCCCCAGACGTAAATAATCATATCTGATTGATACCGTATCAAGACAATTACCCCCTGGGCAATCACCCCCCGGAAAATTACCCCCCGGAAAACTACCCCCTAAGGACAATTACCCCCTGGAAATTTACCCCCCGGAGAATTACCCCCCGAGGACAATTACCCTCCAAGGACAATTACCCCCCGGAAAATTACCCCCCGGAAAATTACCCCCCGGAGAATTACCCCCGAGGACAACTACCCCCGAGGACAATTACCCCCCGAGGACAATTACCCCCGAGGACAACTACCCCCGAGGACAATTACCACCCGAGGACAACTACCCCCCCCCCCCTCGAAACACCATTACCGCGGCCCGAGGACAATCACACCCAGGGAATTTGTAACACTGTGACGTATAATGCGAGCTCCTCTTCAAATTGCTATTTAGAGAAAATGTCATGAACTTTCATTTTCTTAGTTATTTATGACGGAATAGATTTGTTTCGTACAGGGGTTGTGTATAAATTATACTTATATTCGTAGCTCACATTCAAAGCCCTCGTACCCATCTGCCAAATCTTTTTGCTTGACGTACATGTATCCTCCTAGGAGGAGATTTCACCCACCCCTCTCGCTCTGTATCCATTCCACCTTTGTGAAGTTTGACTTAATATGCCACGTGTATTGAATCAAATTCAATTGCCAGAAGACGCATGTATAAAATCGAATTCAATTGCCAGAAGACGCATGTATCAAATCAAAGTACGGAATTTACATTTCTTAGAAATTTAACAATACATTGCGCGCAGATGAGTACGCGTTAATACAGCTAGTCTCCCCAAAAATGGCCCAACAAAGAAATTAGGATGTAAGATATCGTTATTTATGCATCCTCTGTAACTTTTCTAATCAGCTGATCGTATATTTGTCTTTGTATGTATAATGGGCCCTCATCCATGATCTATTCCAAAATTAAGGTTCTCTTCATGTTTATAAATGTAATGTAATATATATATATATATATTTCTGTTGTCATGGTGAACTAAAATATGTTTTCTTGTACTGTAATTTATTTTGAAATAAAATTGCCTTCAAGTTAAATATATGGTATGTACGGTGCCATATTAAAAGAAAATAAGTATCCGCACTTGGGTACATTCATCCCAATGATTTTGTAATTCCAGAGCAGCGTTTTTTCAACTGGGGTGCCGCAAGAGAATGTTAGTTACATGACAATTTTTTTTGGCAAACGTTGATTTTGTGAAAAACAAATATCAGAAACGGGTAGAGTATTTATTTTCATGAGAAAATAAAATGTAAACAAATAATAAAATGTCTTTCTTCCTTGCTCACTGACAATATTTTGCGAATATATATCTTTTATTTCGACATCACAATTATAAACATGATGAATCAAGGCAACGAGAGGCCCGAATATCCTCATATTCGTGTATCAAGGTCATGACCGAATATTTCACTTTATATTCGTGTACATTCGGCGGTGAGGCGCCCGCATACCTTAAATCTGTGCTAGTGTGTTGATTACAACATTATGTTTTACCATTTTGAAAATGTCTTGTCCTTGTTTTTCTTGCTCGTTCACTAAATCAAGAAACAAATGTGCCCATACGTGTGTACATAGCACTTGACGAGTGCCAGAGTGATGCAAAATAAATAGTTTGTGAAGAATTTAAGATTGGGCGAAACTTTTCATTTCTTAAGAGGGCATCGTGTCGAACAAAAAGTTGAAATAACGCTGCACAAGAGAAATCCTTCGTAGAAAACAGCAACCACAGTGTTGTTGCATAGATTATAGTTAAAGAAAAATGTGTAGTAATGAGGAAGATCACGCGCAATTGTCCTCGGGGGGTAATTGTCCTTAGGGGGTTATTGTCCTCGGGGGGTAATTTTCCGGGGGGTAATTGTCCTTAGGGGGTTATTGTCCTCGGGGGGTAATTCTCCGGGGGGTAATTCTCCGGGGGGTAATTCTCCTTGGGGGGTAGTTTTCCGGGGGATAACTTTCCGGGGGGTGATTGCCCAGGGGGTAATTGTCCTAGAACCGATTGATACACGTCTGTAAAAACCCAAATACACACACACACGGGAAGAGATGAGGGTAGAGTACAGGCTATCAAGAGCAGTGCCCGTGGTAAAAAAGACAAACAACGAGTCAATCAACATTTGACATTGCAAGCTAGAGATAGACCCTGTACGTGATGTTGAAAATTAAAATTATGTCGAGTAAGGCACCTATCCATTACACATTTACATTTGCGAGTTTGATATCTGCTAGTCGTTTCATTTTCGTTCAATTTTGCTTTTTTTCCTTGAAATGGATGACGATGAATCTGTATCCATTGACGAGATTTGTTTGTGGAATGCGTCACATTTGATGTGTTTTCTCCGCGAGCGTAACCTAAAGATTTCTGTGAAGAAAGATGAGCTTGTCACCATCGTCTTTGCGGCAATGAAATTGACAGATCTTGCCCCTGAAGCCACAGGGTTTTCGGGGGGCAAGAAGAATCAACAGTACGCTGATTCAGTTCAATTAAGGAATGGCAAAATAACAAACAAAATGTGCATAAGCCTAGATCATGTACGCCAGAATTATTTTGAGCGATATATACCGGGCTAAAGTAGCAGGGACAAAGAGCCTTCATATGAATTATCCTTGCACCAGTTATTAAATTTTAAAGTCAGAATCACAATTTTTGTTCTTCAATGATTGACATTGGGAGCAGACAGCTTACACAAAACATAATGTATGGGGGCAACGGTCAGGACACGGCATACCTTCGCCTCTGTGGAGGCGCTGCCGATGGCACAGAAAAATAATATTTAATGATGTGATAATCACGTACAGAATGAAGAAAAAGAAGGAAAATATATCCAGTTGCCTGCTCAAGACGATTTGTAGTAAAGAATTAAGTGATGTCAAAATCTTTTATCTAGAACGTAACCAATGCTGAAATTTTCCATTCATTGTCGTGTGTAAGCATATATAGCGCCAGCCAATTTTTTCGCGCATGCGCAGAATGTAATTAGTCTACAAACTCGCTTATAGGTCGATGTTGATGTGCAATTAGCAAGAATTTATTGGCAGGAGCGGAATGTGTGAAATGAAATGTTGAGTGAAATGTGAATTGCTTTGTTTTTTGCTTAGATTTCTCGAAATTAAATTAGTTAGTATCTTGTTATATATTTTGTTTTGTATATGTGTTTAGGTATAAAGGGCTGAAACGAAAACCAGTGCTGATTGGGCTAATATCACCTTCCATAATTCATGTCATTCTTATTTCCCTTTTTTATTTATTTTTATCCATTTAGAAGCGCTACTATGTTCCTTCCAGGCTGACGTCCGAATTCCCCCCAGACGAGTTTGCACAGATCAAAACTTCTACAGATTTTTACGTGGACTTCAGGGGCTTCTTACCAGGTTAGGATGAATTCATCGTATGTTTACAGCCAGAAGGGTGTTAACATGTGTAATGTATCATAGAGTTAATGCCCTTCTTGCTCCAAAGAGACTATGTTGCAATTAAATTGCAACAAAGTTTGTATAAAGTCAAACCTGTCTAAGTGGCCACCTCTCTAGAAAGGCCATGCATTTTGTCTCTTCTGAGAAAGAAATTTCCTGAAAGACCACCTGTCATACAGTGGCCACTTGCGTTTTGATTTGAACATTTTAAGTAGAAAGATGGTAAGCTCCAGACTATGATAATTTATTTGTATCAGATTAGCCTACAATATTCTTTTCATTTGCTTTTATGATAATGATAATTTCAACATTGGGTAATGTAATAGTGCACGTATCCACCACGTAAGGTGCTCAAGGTGCTCCAATGTTACCCCAGCTCTTATGGGCTACTGGTTGTAGGTTGCTCCTAGCAAATCAAGGAATTCCTCCCTGCCGGTACCCATTTAACACCTGGGTAGAGAGCGGCGAATGTAAATTAATGTCTTGCCAAAGGACGTGCCAGGGAGGTCAGGTGTACAAACCAGGAGACATAGTTATGGCTATATTAGTCCATCTTGTTAGAAACTTGTGTTTGTTTCTCAGAAAAATATGATTGTCTTGAAATAATATTGAAGCTAATATATCTTTTTGAGCTGGCTTTCAAAACGTCACTAGCCATAATCTAATGGTCATCTTTCTTGTTTGTCATCTCCACAGATGGGCTGTTTCATCGGTTGATGACGAGAGCAGTCAGATGGATGGATGAAAGAAATGGAGTACCAGTCAATCTTTTCCATCGTCACATCAGTCTAATGGTTGATGAAGTGCATTGTGCCTTACTAGAGATGTTACCTCCTCTTGAAGCAACTATCAAGGTCTGAGTCAAGTGTCAGCGATAACCTCTTTTTTTCATGGTGAACATATTGAATTGTAGGTCAAGTTTTTGAGGCTGTGCGTCGGATCCGTTCATAGGCAATGAATAGCCTCCGCCAGGCAATGTTATAGTCTTTCTCCTGAAGACGATCATACTGTAGATACGTAAAGGACCAAGATCTCTTCAGGGCTCTTTTTCCTAAAGAATAACATTGTGTAACTCTGAAAAACTTACCAATAATTCAGTATCAAGGTCTGGTTTTTAGTGCTCTAATCTGACTAGCAGAACCTCGTAATATTTCACCTTTGTGTTTTTAATTGGTTTTAGATACACATACATTCTAAGCTGATAAGTGTTTTTAATGAATTGTAATATTGTGTTATTCTATAATTCTTTTGTTAGGTGATACGTAACGAAGTCTACGTATCACCTTTTAATTTCGTCAAGATTTTTCTTTATTATTATTATTATTTATTTATTAGGTGATACGTAACGAAGTCAACGTATCACCTTTTGATTTCGTCAAGATTGTTATTTATTTATTTATTATTTATTTATTATTCTTCCTCGAATTTGTTCGCAGGATATCTCAAGACTCAATAAAGCCATTGTTATGAATCTTTCACTGATGATAGATCTTAGTCTAACTTAGAACTGCGTGACTTTTTAAAGACTCAAAGTCATCGTGACGTCATCCAGGCGCCATTTTGTAAAAATCAACTTACGATCATATCTTCATAACGGAAAGTAATTTTACATTCATATTTATCAAGATTAAGATCAATATCCGTCGGGTTAATTTGAGTTCAATAAATGCGCGCAAAAATGCGCGTACGCGTAGGCGCGCGCGTTAATGCGCGCGTAAAATTTTAAATTGCTCAAAATCGTCTAAAAATTTTTTTGCATACGTTTCAGGCCATTATAAGCATTTCATAAAAAATCACGCAAAACACGCATTTTTGCACGTTTTCGTTCGTCACGGCCGAATGAAAAATAATTACCCCTCATTTTTTTTTGACAGGATATTCCTCATATTTTTCTGAACAATTTGATACCATGTTCATCTTTTTTATCACTATTAATAACGGAATGAGCGTCCGTTGAAGATAAATATCCGTGCGTGCGAGCTCATGTATTACATAGCATATATGGGCAAAAACATGCCTATAAAAAGTACATCGGGATGAATAAGGACTGCCAATTTTGTTTCATATTTAGATACAGTATGAGTCGGATATATGATTTCATATCTTATTAGGCCATTAAATACATCTTGACGTCATCATAATGGCCTTGAAAGTCAAAATACAAAATTGCATATTATGACGTCATTATATTTATGGAAAATTTAGTGTATTTCTCATAATATTGACTGATTTTCTTCCAAATTTCGGTATCTTGTAGTTGAGGCAATTGCCTTCAAGGTAAATACACACTACTTTTTATTTCATTGACGTCATCATAGTACAAAATTCAATTAAAGGCCACATTTCAGAATTTTCTTAATTTGCGTGTTATGCCTATGTAAGGTGAATTTCGTTCACATCATGAATCTACATGACGTTGATCTTTGAGCACTATCTAGCTTATTTGTGCTCTATGTTCTTCCAAATTTTGATACGGTGTAGCTAAGAAAATTATCTACAAGAATGGCGTAATCATTTATCATTTTGATAACATCATCATAGTGAAAAATTCAATTGAAGCGGACATGTCAGAATTTTCTTAGTTTGCGTGTTAGGCGACTTTTTTCTGAAATCCTGATTCTACAATCTCTATCAAAAACCTAAAGGGGGCGCTATACCACTCTTAATCATGGTCACCAGGGAATTTCAGTATAAACTTTTACATAATATCATATTTTGTAATGATAAACTGTATCTTTTTGGATTAACACAGTCAAATGTATGTTCCTTTTGTAGAAAAGAGGTAAAAACCTATCGTCTTATCTTCTTTGAATGTTCTGAAGGGTCCAGAATATGGAATGAGGTGGAAAACAATTTAAAGATTTTTCAGTTTCTTAATATGCAATGGATTAATGTGTTACTTGGTTTCATGTTCTGCCCCTCTCCCTTTTTTGGTCTGTCTCTGCATCTATCTATATCTCTCTCTACTCTTTCACCCTCTCCCCCTCTCTCTCTACTCTTTTACCCTCTGCCTCTCTCTCTCTCTTGCCTTGCCTCCCTCTTATTCTATTGCTCTGTCTCCCTCTGCCCTACACAGTTGAAACTTGACTCATGGATAGACCATGAGTCAACCCTGTATGAAACATTGATGAAATCGTGAAAATGCGTTCTTCATTATGTTACACATGAGCAAACTTACGTATCACCTAATTCGTCAAAGTGACGAATTAAAGTCTAGTTTTTCTTATTATTCTTCCTCGAATTTGTTCGCAAGATATCTCAAGAATGAATAAAGCTATTATCATGAAACTTGTACTGATGATAGATATTAGTCTAACTTAGAACTGCGTGACTTTTCAGAGACTCAAGATCACCGTGACGTCATCTAGGCGCCATTTTGTGAAAATCAACTCATGAACATATCTTCATAACAGAAAGTCTTTCCTCATTCATATTTATCATGATCAAGGTCAATATCCGTCCAATCAATATCAGTTTAAAAAAACGCGCGCATGCGCATATGTCCGCGCGTCAATGCGTGCGCAAATTCTTAAATTGCTCCAAATCATCTCAAATTCATTTTGCATACGTTTCATGCCATAATAAGCATTTTATAAAAAATCGCGCAAACGTGCATTTTCGCGCGTTTTCGTCCATCACAGCCGAACGCAAAATAATTACCCGTTAATTTGTTTTGACAGGATATTCCTCATATTTGTCCGAACAATTTGATACCATGTTTATTTCTTTATCACTATTAATAACGGAATGAGCGTCTGTTCAAGGCGTATGCGCGAGTTTTGTAATACATAGCATATATTGGCAAAAACATGCCTATAAAAAGTCCAATATAGCTCTTTGGGATGCCTATAGACATTATTTTTTCATATTTGGATAGAGTATGAGTAGGAGATATGATTTCATGTCTCATTTTGCCATTAAGTACATCTTGACGTCATTATAATAGCCTTGGAAGTCAAAATACGAATACGCACATTATGACGTCAGCATATTTATGGGAAATCGAATGTATCTCTGTAAATATTGATCGATTTACTTCTAAATTTTGATATGTTGTAGCTGAGACAATCCACAAGATCATTCCTAATATTTAGTCATTTTGTTGACGTCATTATGGTAAAAATTGTGATTAAAGGCGACATATGTCAGATTTTTGCTAAATATGCGTGTTATGCCTATGGGAGGTGATTGATACTACATTCCAGTCTAGACTTGTTCATTATGTTGCGTATGTAGTGCGTCGAAATATCAGTTCAATGAATGGTAGGCTCTGCAATCAGGCAAAAATTTGAGCTTGTTTAGTAAATTAATAGTTTAATCATATAACAATTCTCTATCGAATCAAAAACCAAAATTTCATCATCATCAATATCGTCATTATCGTATTTATGAATATTATCATTAGATCATCATCGGCAAACATTCATGATACAAAAATAGCTTCGTATCACCTAATTCGTCAAAGTGACGAATTAAAGTCTAGTTTTACATTGTATTCTAATAGTATAATTTAGTGAGTGCTTTCTTGCAATTCAGTTTATGTATGCTGGTGAGGAGCATACTCTATAACACAACACAGAATAGATAAATTTATAAATAAATTAATAAACTAGACTTTAATTCGTCACTTAGACGAATTAGGTGATACGTATGATAATGGTTTACATAACGAATAATGCATTACACGATATATTATTTTGTAAAATGCTTCTCCCATTTATATGCTTCTCCCATTATGATCTATTCATATGTCAAGATTAAATTGTGTCTCCTTGATCATCATGGATCTAGGGAAGATAGATTGAAACAATATATGACCTTTGACCCTGTGCAGTAACCAGTTACACATTTGACTCTAATTTACATCAGAACACCTTTTGACGATTTTATCTTATTCAAAGAAATGAAAATGTAATTGATAAATGATTATCATCATTATGATAATGATGATCATGATGATCATGATCATGATCATGAGCGCGATCATGATCATTATTACAAAAATGAGGGTTGATTTAGATAGCATATAGTCTCAGCTTCAACATACTCAAAAATCAACAAAATCCAAGCCGAAATAACGGCGATATTGCTCGCAAAAGACAGGAATGTAGACTCCAGATTTGAGAAAAAGTCATCTCCCATAGGAATTACACGCAAAAAATAATGGATTAAGTGAAAATAGGGTAATAATAAAGTAAAAAGGGTTATTTATGATATTATTTGCAAATCTACGTGTTTAAATAATCAAAGGAGATGGTACATGCTCCATATGGCCTGAACCGTATGCAAAAAAAAATTAAGAAGATTTTGAGCAATTTAAAATTTTACGTGCGCGTTAACGCGCGCACAAACGCGTACGCGCATTTATTGACCTGAAATTGACCGGACGGATATTGATCTTAATCCTGATAATTATAAATGAGAAATTCCTTTCCGTTATGAAGATATGATCATAAGTTGATTTTCACAAAATGGCGCCTGGATGACGTCACGATACATTTGACTCTCTAAAAAATCACGCAGTTCTAAGTTAGACTAAGATCTATCATCATGGCAAGTTTCATGATAATGGCTTTATTCAGTCTTGAGATATCCTGCGAACAAATTCGAGGAAGAATAATAATAAATAATAAATAATAAATAAATAAATAATAAAAATCTTGACAAAATCAATAGGTGATACGTAGACTTTGTTACGTATCACCTAATAACCCTCACAAACTTGAGGGAAACTGTGCACAATTCCACACTATCATATTATATTTTTTTCTTACTCTTTTTACCTTTACCTTTGATGATGAACATGTCAGGTCACTGTATTCCGAGGAGCGGTTGCTGATTCAGATCACGATGGGGATAGTCACAAACCTCCAGCCCCAAGTGCTGTCAGAGAAGTAGGTAGCTCAACCGGATGGTTTCAATTACTACACAATATAAATGAACAAAGAAGGAGGCGCAAAACAGTTCTCTGACATTTACTATGAGCGTTCACAAAATATTCTTTTTTTCGATTGGAAAATTGGTAGCCTGCTTTAGAATGTACACAGTAGGAGTAGAAGTACACATCTGTGAAAGGTCTCTGAACCACAAAATTGAAATTGTCACTGGTAAACTATTTTTGGCTGTGTCATAGAACATAATTGTTTCTAATAGAAGGTACAGTTAACTCTGCATGAGTCGAATCGGTTGGGACCGCAAACAATTTGACTTAGGCAAAATTTTGAAAATTGGATGGATAGTAATTCTTTAAAATGTTGATATATTTGGATGCCCCTGTGGATGTATTATAAGCACTAGAAAATTTGGCCCCTAAAACACTTCTGCATGCTTTTGAGCAAATTGATTAATTAAAATCTGCCGGTGCTCCCGGTAAATTTCAATTTTTTTCAAATAGCGCCTTAGGCCATTCCATGGTAGCTGCGACCATGGAAATCTCAGAATATGCAGTTCTGATATTTATTTTCCAAACGGGAATAGCAAATTGGTCAATTGCAGTCTAGAATTATTATTTTAAAGCTATAGTAATATCAGTCTTGAGAGGGAGCTATACAACATAAAGAGTTTATTATTTACATGTTCATCACTTTAGACTCGATTTTAACTGCGACAACGACCATTGAATATTGTAAAATCGCATATGCTTCCAAAATTTACATTTTAATCAAATTCATGACCCCATACCAAAACTTTGTAATACCTTTAAGAAGTGTAAATAACACACGATTTGCATAGGTTTTTCAAAAAAATGGATTTAACTAACAAAAGATATAAGACCTGTACTTGATCTGAGTTATTTAGAGTTAACTGTATTGATTTCACACTAACGATCCCACGGTCTGAAGTGTGGTGAAACTTAGAGTCCTGTTAGATTGGAGGACAGTAAAGTTAGACCATCTATATTATGTGGTAACACAGTTCAGCTATCAAACTGAAACTTTGTGCTTCATCAAAATGATTAACCTTTCTCAAACCATGTCCGAAGGATTATAAACAATTGTAAATGAACTTCCGAGAGAGAATGTTCCCAGACTTTGTTAGGTTAAGAGGCAATATCAGCCAATGTGACGTGTGATCAATGCACTATCCTAATGGCAGTTTCATTGTAGATCTGTCTACTCTGAGGTGTGAATTTAAATCAAAGTCATGTTAGCTTGAAGTAGCCAAAAAGAAATTTAAATAACATATCTGTCTTGGGTCTGATTGTGTATTTATGGCAGGTGATGGACTTTGTAACGGAAACCCTTGATAGCCTTAGGCAGCACTGGGCTAGGATGATCGAGTATGATGTCTGCTTTCTGTGCCCGAAGTGCAGTATGAAGAAATTGCTTAAAGACTGCTACAAGGGAATGTCACTCAATTGTGGAATACATATCATCCCTACGGCTGCAATCAGGTTCAAGTTTGGTAGGTCTATAAGACTTGGTACCCCGCCAACTGTTATTGGGTAAACACTTGAATGGTGTCAAATTCCCCATGAGAGCCCACTACTATGCATCTTAAATATAGATAAAAGTCACTCATGTGTAGACTAGTTGACACACCTGTACAAACTGACATAGGGCCTGCATGGAACCCAAGTCCAAATTTAGTTTTGTATTATGGTATTTGTTATTCGTATATGTGGGGGTTATGTTATACTTAATTTTCTTCATACTCCTACTAACGCATAGAATGCTAGGTAAAACTGTGTTCAGTTGATTTTACACCTTCTAGCTGTACACAAATTATATTTTGGCTGATTGGCGCACTTGGGGGTTATTGAAGCAATTATTGTACATCTGTGTATAAAAGTATTCTTGGTACTCCTGTTGGTGTAAAAAGGCCCTGCTTCTTTTTTTAAATTGTTTTAATAATTCTACAACTCGCCATGATGATCTGTTTCCACATTTCACTTTCATCAAACAAATACTGATTTTCCACAAACGATGAGATTGGTGATGAATTGGTTAAAAAATTATATCCCATCATGCCTCGCTTCATTCATATATGATATGTGTATATAGTCATTTTTTTAATCCCCTCGCCGACGAAGTCGGAGGGGATATAGTAACGCTGCCGTCCGTCCTTCCGTAACAAATTTGTTTTAGTAATGTTTTGACGGATTTTAATGAAATTTGATATGAAGGTACATATGGTATCAAAATACAGGCTAAGTTCGATTTCGGAGTATGTAGGTCAAAGGTCAAAGGTCATAGCTCATTAATTATGCGAACAAATACAAATCTGGTTTCCGATCGATAACTTCAGTAATGTTTGACAGATTTTATTGAAATTTGATATGAAGGTACATGGTATCAAAACACAGCGTAAGTTCGATTTCGGAGTACGTAGGTCAAAGGTCATAGCTCATCAAATATGCAAATCTGGTTTCCATTCGATAACTTTAGTAATGTTTGACGAATTTTAAGGAAATGTAATATGAAGGTACATATGGTATCAAAATACAGCCTAAGTTCAATTTCGGAGTATATAGGTATATATATATATATATATTTTTTTTTTTTTTCTTCTTTGGTAATATCATACATAAAATGAGCTGTAAAGGGTACGTGAGCATTTGTCTTCATCAATAACCCACTTTTTGTAATGGGTAAAATGAATGTTTGACAAATTTTAATGAAATGTAATATGAAGGTACATATGGTATCAAAATACAGCCTAAGTTCAATTTCGGAGTACATAGGTCAAAGGTGAAAGGTCATAGCCCATTAAATATGCAAAAACACCTAATTATATATATATATATATATATGAAAATGTGGTGAACTTCCTTGCCTAGTAATATAATAGTATAGTCAAATGGAGGTAACTTGTTCTGACGTATATAGGCCATTTGTACCCTGCGAGGGGATGCTACGCTTTGCGTTGACTTGTTTGATCGGTTTCGCTCATGAAGTTCTGTTTTTTTTTGTGTGTGTGTGTTTTAGGTGCTTTTTCTTTTGGTTTTGGTACAATTTAAAGATGCTATGTCCGTTTTGCAGCCAACATCATAATATGTAGAACTTTGCAGGAATTATGAATACGTCATGTATGTCCTATTTGTGAAATTAAAACATTAGCTATGTCCTGATATTCAAGTTATGCAAGGAAACCCGTTTACTTGCTAGACTTCACTGTCAGACACTATTGAGTGACTGACTGGCTTTTTTCTTCTTTGGTAATATCATACATAAAATGAGCTGTAAAGGGTACATGAGCATTTGTCTTCATCAATAGCCCACTTCTTGTAATGGCCAAAATTAAACTGATCAAATCTTTGCGCGGCACAAAATGTACGACCATTCGGTACAATGGTCTGAAATCAGACTATTATCACTTATCATATTCCACATACTAATAATTTTACCCTACGATTGGTCAAAAGTAAATCACGTGATAAAAGATAGTTCGCCCATCACTGATGGGAGAAGAAAAGTTCGTTACACTGTGTAGATATTATTACTATCTACACAGTGCAACGCACTTTCACTGAAGATAGAAGTACTATCTATACAGTACAACGCACTTTAATTGTATACGCTGCGTATTGCTCTCCTCTTTAAGCGCGTTTAGTGTTAGTACGCGAACTATATGGTTACACCACCATACTGCATGCACTATGCGTATCATATGCCGTTTGCTAGCTGTTAATTGATGACTTGTTGCTCTAAAATGACAGAAGTGAAATGTTTCCGATGTGGAATATAAAGCAAATAGTCACATTTTGGTTTCAGGAGATGGCAAACTATCACTTCCTCGGCGATCTGAATGTATACGCTATCTTTTCTCAGCTTCGCTTCGGAAAGATGGCTACATCCAGATTGCCTTGGAAGTGATACTTTGTCCCATCACCTTCACCAACGGTAATTATGTGTTTATTAGCACGTAGCACTTAAGTCGATTAAAAAACTAATAGCAATATTTTCCCACTTAAAGACAATCGGTGGTATTCCGGTAGCGCGAACTAAGTTAGAGCGTACTAAGGTAGTTCACACTTTTATGGAGTGCCTGTTGCGAACTAATTTACCCTGTAATTATTTTAATCCCTCAATAAAAAGTGTCCAAAAAATTAATTTTGCAATGAATCGGAAGAAAAAGACAGTATGAGTATGAACTGAATTTCAACAAAGTCTCTGGTAGATTATCTTTGTCATGAATATTGAAGGAGGGTGATGAAACCTAGCATTCCATAGAAGTGTGAACTAACATTCTTGTTTAGTCTGGACTTAGTCCCGGCTTAACTTATGAGAATACCACCCATTCTCAAGCACCCCCCCCCTTTTTTTTGTTAGGGAAGTTCTAACTATTATCTTTCAAATGCCATTGGAATTTAATTTTTTCATTTTTCAAATGGGACATAATACCTTTATAGAGAATATAATGTTATCCTGAATCATGGTGTCAAATTTTTTAGTTTGAATCTGGAGTTTCTATTCAATAACCTCACAAATATCATACGTTCTATATAAATAGTACACAAACATACCAAGCTGTGAGAAAGTATAGTGAAAATTATTATCTGAAGAGGGACTGGCATAGTTCTATTTTCAGTCCCTCTGAAGATATATAATTTCCACTATACTTTCGAACTAAATGCTTGGTATATTTGTGTTATATCTTTTTCTTACAACTTATTTAAAAAAAAAAGAAAACATAAGACAATATAGCTTAGGGCTAAAGTATCGGTGACTTGCGCCGATACTGCAGGTGGCAAGGTTATTAGCAGTCTGTATAAGGACTCGCTCAACGGGTTGTCTGCTCGTTCAAATTTTACACAAATGTTGTCAATGAACAGTGAACATGCACAGCAGGGCCTTGGAAGATAATGAAATAGAGCATACGCAGTTCTGCCAAGGAAAAAAATAGTGAAAGCTTTTAGGAGCTCTGGCAGAGATTTGTTTTTCCTAGTGAAATTATATTGTATCACATGAGCACCAATTGACCAATCATGTATTTAGAATACTCATGAATATTCATAGAAGGGATATAATATAGAATATTATGTCTCATTCTATTTGGTGTCAGGAGTGGGGTTAAGTTCACACTTATTGCACCTGAAATGTTTATGGCCAAAGAATCATTTTCTTGATATTTCCAAACCATTTCTAGATTTGTGTAAAGAAACTCTGAACTCACAAACCCGAATGTAGATGTTTATATATATATATATATATATCTTGCCAGCAGGGGTGTCGCTAGACCTTTTTCAGTGGGGGGGGGGGGGGTGTAGAGGCCAACGATTACCGACAAAACTAGCCACCAATTACCGACAAAATGAATGTCTGATATCTACAAAATTAACCCTATAAACCTGGGGCCGAATGCTCAATTGTTATTCCTATGGACTATCTATAGTACTGGCATATGCGCAAATGATAATTTTCCTCGACGACATAAATATACAAATTATTTCGTCAACTTAGTCAGCATCATAGCTATATATTTTAATGCAGGCGCGGAGCTAGGATCTTATTTTAGGGAGGGCTAGGGGTGGTAGTGAGCAAGCGAATCACTTTAAAGAGCGCGCTTTGGTGTGGTTGATAGGCCTCTCGCAAAAAGCGCGGAAGCTTAGACGTTTCCTTAAATTATTAGGAAAAGAAGACAATATATTTTACCGTTCTCGACTGTTTATCCCTGTCTGAATGAAGTCCCCCCCCCCTCCCGCGCGAAAGCTCTGACGTTTCATTAAATTATTATAAAAAGAAGACGATTTGCTGTATCGTTCTCGACTGTAATCCTTTTCTGAATACAGTTTCTCCCCTTCCGTGCGAAGCGTGGAAGTTTTGATGTTTCATTCAATTATTGGAGAAAGTAGAAGATTCGCTGAACCGTGCTCGACTCTTAATCTTTGTCTGAATGAAGCTTCCCCCTCCCGCGCAAAGCGCGGACGTTTTAACGTTTCATTAAATTATTAGAGAAAGAAGGCGATTTGTTGTACCGTTTTCGACTCTTAATAAGCCCTAATTGTCTGAATTCAATTTCCCCCTTTAGCGCGAAGAGCGGAAGCTTTGACGTTTCTTTAAATTATTAGAGAAAGAAGACGATTCGTTGTACCGTATTCGACTTTAAATACGCCCTATTTGTCTGAATTCAGTTTCCCCCTCTTGCGTGAAGCACGAAACCTTTGACGTTTCCTTAAATTATTAGAGAAAGAACACGATTCGTTGTACCGTATTCAACTTTAAATACGCCCTATTTGTCTGAATTCAGTTTCCCCCTCTCGTACGAAGCGCGGAAGCTTTGACGTTTCCTTGAATTATTAGAGAAAGAAGACGATTTGTTGTACCGTTCTCGACTCGTCTAAATGAAGTTTTTCCCTTCCGCGCAAAGCACGGAATTTTTGGCGTTTAATCACAATATAAAGACAGGAATACGATTCGTTGTACTGTTGTTGACTCTTCAACCTTGTTTGAATTTAGTTTCCCCGAAAATTTTAAATCTCTGATTTCTTTAGCTGATAATATAGGAAAGTGAAACTTCGAGAAAATACAAGTATTGTAGTTGTAGTCACTCTCGAAGTCGTCACAACGGATAAGAAGTCACAGTTCATAGGGAAAAAACGTGTCGGCCGACCGACAATATACATCTCACCGACTTCAAACTTCTGCATTGATATAGTACACGAGGATCGAGCAAGAATACACACACAGCTGACCCGACACAGCAACATATTAACCCGTGTCTTTCTTGCTCCCTCGACGAGACGACTCCACCCAACAACCGCGTTTTCCCTTTTACTCCCACTACTCCTCTCTAAGACTCTTACCTCCCCTCTCTCTCTCTCTCTCTTTCATCCCCCGTTTCTTTTGTTTCCCTTTTACTCTTTTTTCTTCTTTTTTTCCTTTTCTTTTCTTTTTTTTCTTCCTTTCTTTCCTCTCCTCCCTCTTTTTCTTTTTTCTCTTTCTTTCTCCTCTTTTCTTCCCTTTCTTTTCCTTCCTTTCTTTTCTTTTCCTTTTCTTTTTTTTCTTTTCTTTCCTTTCCCTCTCTTTTTTTCCCTCCCCCTTTTCTCTTTTTTCCCGACGGCAGCGCAATTTTACCGACAATATCCTGTCATGTCGGGGGGTGTCGCACCCCCACACCCCCCCCCTTGGAGACGCCCCTGCTTGCCAGTGGATAGCATTGCTGTGGCAGGGATTTGAATCAAATACCTTGTGATCCCGGCCCTCTGATTTATCAACTAAATGCTTGGTATTTTTTTTAAAATATCTTTTCTTTACAACTTATTCCAGGGCTAAAGTACCGGTGACTTGCGCCGATACTGCAGGTGGCAAGGTTATTAGCAGTCAGTATAAGGACTTGCTCAAAGGGTCGTCTGCTCGTTCAAATTTTACACACATTTTGCCTCAATGAACAGTGAACATGCACAGCAGTGCCTTGGAAGAAAATATTAAATTGAGCATGCGCAGTGTTGCCCAGGAAAAAATAGTGAAAGCTTTTCGGAGCTCTGGCAGAGATTTGTTTTTCCTAGTGAAATTATATTTTTTCACGTGAGCACCAATTGACCAATCATGTATTTAGAATTCTCATGAATATTCACAGAAAGGATATAATAAAGAACATTATGTTTCATTCTATTTGGTTTCAGCAGTGGGGTTAGGTTCACACTTATTGTACCTGAAATGTTTACGGCCGAAGAATGATTTTCTTGATATTTCCAAACCATATCTAGGTTGGTGTAAAGAAACTCTGAACTCACAAACCCGAATGTAGATGTATATGTATATCGTGCCAGTGGATGACATTGCTGTGGCAGGGATTTGAATCCAATACCTTGTGATTCCCAGCCCTCTGATCTATCCACTAGATTTCAACTTTTTTCAATTTGAATTTATTTCTTCTCATATTTTGATGCAGGTATGAGTGTGGAAGGAGTGGAGCCAGGGAACGAAAGTCCAATAAGTAAGTATGCAATCACTTCATCCTTTCATTCTCATCATTTTCACCTAGAATCATGTTGTAAGGAGTAGGATTTAATTTTCTTAGTTTAATTATCTGGACTGTCTATTCAATAACCTCACAAATATCTTAACCCTTCTATTTAAATAGTATACAAATATACCAAGCTGCGAGAAAGTATCGTGAAAATTATTGATCTGAGGAGGCACTGGCATTGTACTATTTTTAGTCCCTCTGAAGATATATAATTTCCACTATACTTTCGAACTAAATGCTTGGTATATTTGTTTTATATCTTTTCTTTACAACTTATTCCAGGGCTAAAGTACCGGTGACTTGCGCTGATACCGCAGGTGGCAAGGTTATTAGCAGTCAGTATAAGGACTTGCTCAACGGGTCGTCTGCTCGTTCAAATTTTACACACATCTTGCCTCAATGAACAGTGAACATGCGCAGCAGTGCCTGGGAAGAAAATATTAAATTGAGCATGCGCAGTTCTGCCCAGTAAAAAAATAGTGAAAGCTTTTAGGAGCTCTGGCAGAGATTTGTTTTTCCTAGTGAAATTATATTTTTTCATGTGAGCACCAATTGACCAATCATGTATTTAGAATACTCATGAATATTCACAGAAGGGATATAATAAAGAACATTATGTTTCATTCTATTTGGTGTCAGGAGTGGGGTTAGGTTCACACTTATTGCACCTGAAATGTTTACGGCCAAAGAATCATTTTCTTGATATTTCCAAAACATTTCTAGATTGGTGTAAAGAAACTCCGAACTCACAAACCCGAATGTAGATGTATATGTATATCGTGCCAGTGGATGACATTGCTGTGGCAGGGATTTGAATCCAATACCTTGTGATCCCCAGCCTTCTGATTTATCCACTAGATCTCAACTTTTTTCAATTTGAATCTTTTTCTTCACATATTTTGATGCAGGTATGAGTGTGAAAGGAGTTGAGCCAGGGAACGAAAGTCCAATAAGTAAGTATGCAATCACTTCATCCTGTCATTCTCATCATTTTCACCTAGAATCATGTTGTAAGGAGTAGAATTTAATTTTCTTAGTTTGAATCTGGACTGTCTATTCAATAACCTCACAAATATCTTACCCTTCTATTTAAATAGTATACAAATATACCAAGCTGCGAGAAAGTATCGTGAAAATTATTGATCTGAGGAGGCACTGGCATAGTACTATTTTTAGTCCCTCTGAAGATATATAATTTCCACTATACTTTCGAACTAAATGCTTGGTATATTTGTTTTATATCTTTTCTTTACAACTTATTCCAGGGCTAAAGTACCGGTGACTTGCGCCGATACCGCAGGTGGCAAGGTTATTAGCAGTCCGTATAAGGACTTGCTCAACGGGCATATGACGGGTCGTCTGCTCGTTCAAATTTTACACACATCTTGCCTCAATGAACAGTGAACATGCGCAGCAGTGCCTGGGAAGAAAATATTAAATTGAGCATGCGCAGTTCTGCCCAGGAAAAAAATAGTGAAAGCTTTTAGGAGCTCTGGCAGAGATTTGTTTTTCCTAGTGAAATTATATTTTTTCACGTGAGCACCAATTGACCAATCATGTATTTAGAATACTCATGAATATTCACAGAAGGGATATAATAAAGAACATTATGTTTCATTCTTTTTGGTGTCAGGAGTGGGGTTAGGTTCACACTTATTGCACCTGAAATGTTTACGGCCAAAGAATCATTTTCTTGATATTTCCAAACCATCTCTAGATTGGTGTAAAGAAACTCCGAACTCACAAACCCGAATGTAGATGAATATGTATATCGTGCCAGTGGATGACATTGCTGTGGCAGGGATTTGAATCCAATACCTTGTGATCCCCAGCCTTCTGATTTATCCACTAGATCTCAACTTTTTTCAATTTGAATCTTTTTCTTCACATATTTTGATGCAGGTATGAGTGTGAAAGGAGTGGAGCCAGGGAACGAAAGTCCAATAAGTAAGTATGCAATCACTTCATCCTGTCATTCTCATCATTTTCACCTAGAATCATGTTGTAAGGAGTAGGATTTAATTTTCTTAGTTTGAATCTGGACTGTCTATTCAATAACCTCACAAATATCTTACCCTTCTATTTAAATAGTATACAAATATACCAAGCTGCGAGAAAGTATCGTGAAAATTATTGATCTGAGGAGGCACTGGCATAGTATTATTTTTAGTCCCTCTGAAGATATATAAATTCCACTATACTTTCGAACTAAATGCTTGGTATATTTGTTTTATATCTTTTCTTTACAACTTATTCCAGGGCTAAAGTACCGGTGACTTGCGCTGATACCGCAGGTGGCAAGGTTATTAGCAGTCAGTATAAGGACTTGCTCAACGGGTCGTCTGCTCGTTCAAATTTTACACACATCTTGCCTCAATGAACAGTGAACATGCGCAGCAGTGCCTGGGAAGAAAATATTAAATTGAGCATGCGCAGTTCTGCCCAGGAAAAAAATAGTGAAAGCTTTTAGGAGCTCTGGCAGAGATTTGTTTTTCCTAGTGAAATTATATTTTTTCACGTGAGCACCAATTGACCAGTCATGTATTTAGAATACTCATGAATATTCACAGAAGGGATATAATAAAGAACATTATGTTTCATTCTGTTTGGTGTCAGGAGTGGGGTTAGGTTCACACTTATTGCACCTGAAATGTTTACGGCCAACGAATCATTTTCTTGATATTTCCAAACCATCTCTAGATTGGTGTAAAGAAACTCCGAACTCACAAACCCGAATGTAGATGTATATGTATATCGTGCCAGTGGATGACATTGCTGTGGCAGGGATTTGAATCCAATACCTTGTGATCCCCAGCCTTCTGATTTATCCACTAGATCTCAACTTTTTTCAATTTGAATCTTTTTCTTCACATATTTTGATGCAGGTATGAGTGTGAAAGGAGTGGAGCCAGGGAACGAAAGTCCAATAAGTAAGTATGCAATCACTTCATCCTGTCATTCTCATCATTTTCACCTAGAATTATGTTGTAAGGAGTATAGGATTTAATTTTCTTAGTTTGAATCAGGAGTGACTTTTCAATAAGCTCACAAGTATCTTATCGTTCAATTTATGTTTGTATAGAATATTATGTCATGTGTCAATCAAGAGAGGTTTTACTGTTACTCTATTTCGTATCAGGAGTGGGCTTAAGTACACACTGTCAATGAAGGTATAATCCTCTGCAGACAAAATGGTGTTGTGTTGTTATTTCAGAGACACCATACTTCAATTGAAGTGTTTAGCAGCGAGTTGATTTGCCCAACAAAAATAGAACGCAAGGAATGAATCGTGTCGGTTGTCACTCTTTTGTGTAAACCAGAGCCCTGTTTCATAAAAAAACGTTATCAGTAACAATAAAAAAAATTATGTAACAAATTATCTCCCAGCCAATTAAATGCCACAATTCCAGTAACTCATAACAGGTATTGTTACTTGATATTGATGACAATTTGTATGAAACAGGAACCAGATTATACAAAAATGGTATCATCCAGGGGTGGATACAGCCTTCTTTTTTATTTAAAGAGGAGCAGTCTACTCCAAAAAGTTTCTGACAGGCAAAACAAACGGTCATCAGATTTTGTTTAGAAGCAGATGATGTTGATGCTGTTTTAGTTTTCATGGCAAAGATTATTTAATTATGAATACTTACGCCTATGGTGCCGCCTTTGTATTACAAATTATCTGACAAAGAAAACCCCAAAAACGGTTATCATCTCAAAAGTGTCATGATATATGTGTAACTTATAAGTCTATAGCTCAACCTTGTGGTGACATGTCAGGCATGTACAACAATTTGGGTACATCTCTGTATAGATACTACAGTTGAAGTCTCATGTACTGATAAGTATGCTTCAACTAATAAAGTTTCTTTTGAGCTTCAAACTAGATGTTAAGCATACATATTACAAAAAGGATTTTGCAGAATTTTGGTTACAAAACAAGGGGTGGGAAGACAGGCCAGATGCATCCTCCCCAATCTGCTGGCGGTAGTACATGTATCTCATATCCATTGTGTAAACATGCGATTTCAGCTGCAGCGCTATTTCTCAGTAATAATGTCAGGCTAATATTATACATAATATGTTGCCATCTCTTTGCACTTAACAAATAGCAAAAGAACAACCTTATATCTTATATATTATACAACATTCGGAATAGCTACAGTAACTCATTTACATCAGTTAAGAAAGTATGGTGATATATATGATTAAATACAATACTTAATTGAAAGCAACAAACAAAATTGAGATTGAAGGAGAAACGTGATAAAATATTATCTTAACTAATAAAATAATATAAATTTCAGTTCAGACTGCTTGAAATTATTGATGGAGGGTGCATCTTGGAGCTGGAGAGGAAGTGCCTTCCATAGTGAGGGTGCCAGGGTGATATAGTTACCTCTTGTTGTATGATGACATCATCGTCTCTCAGATCTCTTCCTCAAGTGGTCCACTTGGATGAAGAAAATCCAACCTTATATTGAATGTGATGTCACTGGTGGAAAAATGCAAAGGGATGCACAGCCAGCAAATACATGTGTAGAAATAATACATTCTAAACTTTTGATCTTTCTTTGACTGTACATCTGTATCATGGTTCATGATTAATGGGTGCGTCTATCAACTCTTTTCTAGCCTATATTCAGTGTTTCAAACGTGATTCAGGCAAATTTGCAATATGATAAACAATTGCACGTTTTCATACGTCTTCATATACGTGTATATTGAAACGCCCCCCAAAATGCGTTTTTAATGTGAGAATGAGCCAGAATACCTTGCGGTACTTGGCAGTTGATGGTTCAATACCATGTTTGTATTGTTCTAACCATGGTTCAGTACCTTGGCTGTATGGTATTAGCATGGTACATGTATTTTTTTCCCTTAAAGTAGATATTCATTGATTTTAAAAACTAACTTTATTTTCATTATTGCAAAGTTGAAACTTTGATTCGACAAGGTAATCAAAATTCATTGCTTGGGAACATTCAAAGTAATGATTATTATAAATTACAAAACGCTTAAATACAGCCCCGGCATAGCACCTGCAGAACTCTCCGAAAGCTGCTGAGATGTGTGAGATCACAGTATGGACATGATTTGCACAAGCAGACGATGTCCCATGACATCTCACAAATTTTTAGTGCCTTTTTTTTCATCTTCACTTGAGTTCTTTCTCTTACTTCACTACCGTCAGGCTAAATGTATAATCTATTGCCTCTAAACCCCGCGCATGTTTTTATTTTGATGACAAATGCAGCGATACAAAAATAAAGGAATCTTTCGCTTGTAAACAAAATAAGACGCCATTGTATATTCAGCTGCACCCACCGCGGTATGGTCGGCGGTTCAAGAGGGAACAAATGCCGTCCTTAATATCATTCCGGGGGTTTTCAATTTGAAAGTCTGGTTTCTTTGATTGTTAATTAACCCCTATCCTGAGTATTTACAAGCAAAAGATTTTAGTTATCAGAATCGGGTCATATCCCCTTTTGTATGGTTTGACATGCCATTACATTTATTTACACTGAACTCATTATAATTTGACAAATAATAGCTTTGCAATTATGTTCATTCTTTATGGGATGTCGTCTGCTTGGGCAGTATTGGTCCATATAGTGCACTATGTCATGACGTCATTAAAAAATTGTTATTTTTCCGGCAAATCTCTTGTATATCCCAGCTACTATGAAGGTGGTTGTATTTGTATTTTGATAAATCACCCGATATGTAGTTGACCTTAAACTTGTACGATGGCCATATGTTAGCCTACCAGTTTTTAGTGATACATTAGTTGACATATTTGTGATTTTCTTTGAATTTCACCTTTAAGTTTGCAATTAATTCACATATCCATCGTGGGGAAACAAATTGTTGATGTAATTTCATAGTCCTTTAGTTTTTTGAAGGTTTTATTTGAAATGAAAAACTGACAATTAAAAAGTACAGCTAGGAATCTGACTTAAATTTATTATATTAAGACACGCATTAATGTAGTTAAGAGGTTTCCAATTATTATTAGGAGAAAACATTTATCAATGGTGTGTAAATGTAGAGATTGTGCAATTAAGATATTGAAATATCGTAAAGAAGGTCTGCACTAGTCAAGACTATGTACCTACAAGCCACAAACCCACACAACGCGCACTACACATGTATACTATACAACCGTTGTGTACATTCCCGCATTTTTTGAATGGCTGCAAGTGTGTATGCTGAGAACCATGGTAACCATGGTTTGGTGAACCATAGTTCGGTGTACTATGGTTACCATGGTTATTTGTCCAAATTACCATCCACCATAAGTACCTGGAAACGCAAAGCTGTTTTGGAACGCGTATATATTTCGGACCTTCCCAGGCTAATTTCCGGTTCAGAGAAATAGCACGGAGTAGTTGCTACAACCGGCCGTGTCAGACACTTTGCCCCGGGGTGCGAGATAGGACTATTATGCGCTGTGTCATGTTGTACAGGCATATCTACGGATCTTGTTCATTGTTTACGTTTATTGCGATATTAACTATTCGAGTGTATTGTCATGTTGAGCCCACTATTACCGCCAAAGACATGTCTCGAATATGAACATGTACTCCCGGCATGTTTACAAAACGAGCCAGATTTTTTAAACTTTGAATTTTTAATGTGACAATATTACTACGCTAGTATGTAAAAGAAAGAAGATCCGTAAACCATGGATAACGGAGGAAATGATAGATAAGATGGATCAGAGAAGGACGGTGAAAATGACAACGCAGCAGAAGGCAAAAGGGGTTACATTTAAGAGGCTTAATAATGAACTAAGAAGAGCTACATACAGAGCCCGAACTAACTGGTGTGAACAACATTGCAAGGAATTAGATAATCTAAACCGCATTGGGAGAACAAGTGAAAATTCTTAGTGACGATTTGAACAAAGGGAAAGGAAAGAACAACATGAGGGGTTCCCGGGGTTCTGGATGTGAACGGAGAACTGCTAACCGACCAACTGGACATAGCGGATAGATGGCGTCAGTATATGTAGAGGAGTTGTACACAAGGGACAATAAACCAGTCGAGCTGCCCTTGGAAATGGAAGAGTATGTCATGGCGGATGACGTTGGTCCTCCCTTACTTCCAGGAGAGGTGCATGCTGCAGTCTGTCAGTTAAAGGAGAAAAGGATGGCTGGTGTAGATAACATTACTGCTGAAATGCTCAAGAATATGGGGGAAGCTGGCATAATGGCACTGACTGAATTATGTGAACATTTATATGAACAGGGAATCTGGCTAGAGGATTGGACAAGAAGCCAGTTGATAACTATTACAAAGACTACAAAGGTAATCCGATGCGAGGATCACCGCACCATCTGGTACCACATGCTTCAAAATTATTGCTAAATGTACTCCACCATCGGATTGAAGCGAGGTCCAAAGATTATATTGGAGTTAACCAATTTGCCTTTCGTAGATTGGGTCACTGAACCTGTCATAAACCTACAGATCACTATTGATGGTGAAAGGGGTCGGTACTCGAGAAGCAAATGCAAATATTAAAGGTAATGCAAAGTTTTAGGAAATTTTGGAATTGGACGGATAGTAATTCTTTAAATTGTTGATATACAGTGTGAGTATAAAAAAAAGTTTACACCTAGAAAATTGCTAATTATGTTTGGAATCATCTATGAACAGTAAATTAGTTTACATCTTATGAAAGAGTGTTTTATCCCAAATCATTTGGTATCATTTTTGTGTGATATATGTTCACGCTTGATTGAACAGGAGGCATTGTTTGCGAGAGTGCAAAAATCGACTTGCGCCAAAGTTGCTATGTGATGTTTGAATAAAACAATTGGGATTTGGGTATTAATTCGGTCTTTGCAGATCCAAATAACATCCCTATCAAAATTCATAATGTCACACATATCAAATATTAAATATCAAATATCAACGAACATTTGTGCCTGCGCGTGTGTGACTTTGCTTCTGCAAAAAGCATATGCAATGCATTACATTTGATACATTCAATTCACTCTGTCACTCTGCTAATCCCAACATTATACATACTGTAGGCATCACTTTGGCGCAAGTCGATTTTTGCACTCACGCAAACAATGCCTCCTGTTTATACTTAACTGTTTATAGATGATTTTTAAAATAACAAAAAAGAAGAGCAATTTTCTAGGTGTAAACTTTTTTTTTACTCACACGGTATTTTGATGCCCCTATGGATGTATTATAAGCACTACAAAAATTAGCCCCTAAAACACATCTGCTTTCGAACAAATTGAATAATAAAATTTTACCGGTGCTCCCGGTAAATTTCCCAGCAAATATTTCAAAAAGCGTCTTAGGCCACTCTATGGTAGCTGCGACCATGAAAATCTTAGAATATGCAGTTCTGATCAATAATTTCCAAACGGGAATAGCAAATCGGTCGATTGTAGACAAGAAACGTTGTTTTAAAGCTAAAGTAATATCAGTCTTGAGAGGGCGCTATACAACATAAGTAGTTTATTATTTACAATTTCATCACTTTAGACTCGATTTCAACCGCAACAACGATCATTGAATATTGTAAAATCGCATATGCTTCCAATATGTTCATTTGAACAAAATTCATGACCCCATACCAAAACTTTGTAATACCTTTAAGTGAGAGATGTATACAGCATGATCAGGACCTATATATATATCTGTTTTGTGGACTCAAAAAAGGGCATTTGATCGTGTCAATTTGACTAGGCTGATGGAAGTGCTGTCAGCCATTGGTGTTGATTGGAAAGACCGTAGACTGATTGCATCCTTGTAGATGTCTCAGACTGCAAGCATTCGCGTTGGAGATGGGGTCCCTGAACCAGCTGGCATTGGACGTGTATTACGTCAGGGATGCTTCTGCATCCTCTTCTCTTCAAAATCAATGCAGAGACAATGGTGAGAAGCTCTGGCAACATTAGAAGAAGGAGTGAACATTGGAAGAGTGTTAATTAAGTCTGTACGGTACGCTGATGATCAGGCCATGCTCGCTGTCACTGCCGATCGATGGCCTTCAAAGATAGATGGTACAGATTGACCAAGTGGTCAGGAGCTATTGCATGAGAATAAATGAGAAGAAAACAAAGGTGATGATGACAAGTAAGGTCAAGACAAAATAAATAAACATGATAAATGGCAACAGACTAGTGCAGTATCTAGGCAGTGTGCTGACTGAGGATGGCAAGTCTGTCAAAGAGGTCAACTTGCGCTCAGCATTGACAATTAAGAGCTGCCTTCTTTCAACGACAGGATATCCTGATGAGCCACAATATTGACCTTACAGTTTGAGAATGCGTCTTGTGAAATCTCTAGTATGGAATGTACTGTTGTATGGGGCAGAGAGTGGACACTCGCCAGGAAGGACATTCAGCGATTGGAGGCGGTCGAAATGTGGTGCTTGCGTAAATTACTAGGTATGAATAGGTGTTGTATCGAGCTCAAGAAAAGCGGACCGGTGCTGCTTCAAACGATTAGAAATAGCAGAAGAAATGGCTTGGACACACAATGCGGCATGATGTCGGATTGATGATTAGAGTCCTAGAAGGTCGTCTACATGCAAAGAAGATGAGGTGAAGACCTCGTAAAGGCTTTCTAGATGATTTAATCGCAGAATGTGGAGCAACAGCTAGGGTATGAAATGCTGAAACGGATGGCTTAAGACTAAGGTACTTGGAGAGACACTTGAAGTAGAATTCTGATTGTGTCACTGAACCTAGCTGTCATAAACTGACAGTGACAGATCACTATTGATGATGAGTAGGTAGTAGATATTAGTAAGGATACAAGAGGCGAAAACGCATAGAACGCGAGTCGAGGATGCACACGTTACGTTATGGACCGGGCTGCTAGCTATAGCTTGCTACATATACATTATATGCCACTGCGGTCGATCAAAATTAAAAATGCGCACGCCCTAGTTGACGTGTGAGCAACTCTCTGCTTCCCGGGTCAAATGGTGCATAGCAGCTACGCAGAGACAAGGCTTTCATTTCGAATTGTGACAAGTTCACAAACACGACATCTCGCAAATCACGTTTGTATATTTCGTCCTTGTTTTCACGAAGTGACGGTAGTGAGGAAAATCGTCACGCAAAGTGAATACATTTTTTTTTCACTACCGTCACTTCTTGAAAACAGCGACGAATTATGTGTTTCTATAAACCCATATAGAAACGCTCTATCTTAGTAGCAAAAGTTGATAAACGCACCCTTAGTATTATTTAATTTTTTCACAGTGGTAGGGGATCACGTATCTGTATAATATATTTTTATGTCCATATTATATCAAAAAACAAAAAAATTAAACATTTGTCCTGAATTTGTGTCTGGATCCTTTAGCTGAGCACACAAGCATTTTGTCTTTAAATTAATTATTGTTTGCATAGACTCCATAGGTCACCATTGATTCATTGTCCTAATCTGAAATCTTGGAAGAAAAGCAACATACTGTGCGCCCATTGCGTTCGCGATTTTGCACAGCAGATAGGATCTAACCAGATTATTATAAACTTCATAGTTCACCACTAATTTGTTATCCTTATCTTACAGCTTGCAAAGAAAGCAAATTACTGTGCGACCTTTACTTCAGTGATCTTGCAGAGTAGATTATTATAATCTTTACAGTTCACCATAATTTATTATCCTTATCTTACAGCTTCCAAGGAAAGCATCAAATCGGTCCCCCATTTATTTCACGTATGATAGATCTGATAGGAGCACTGGCAAAACCTTGGATATTAGCTACTATCAAGCATAGCGGATATGGACTACATCAAAGAGGTCAACCTTAGAGCAGAGCAGTGCATCTATACTGTGCTACAACTATGGAAAAAACGATTGTCATGTATGAATGAGGGGAAGGTGGAGAAGCTTTACATGGCCATGAATAGCTGTAGCATGACAGATCTTGCAGATAAAGTAAAAAAAGACGAAGGAATCTGCTAAATTTCACATCCATTGGACATTGTATTGAGGGACAGCTAGATAACTACTTGCGTTTCGCCCTAGTTTTTCAGAGAAGCCACTTAATATGGTAGCTAGGGATATATCGAGTAGGCATCATGATATTATCACTTTAATAATCTTCCCTTCCAATATTGGTGCCAATCCATTGCATGAATATACGTGGGACTAAAACTGATAGGAAAGTGCCTTCTGTACTGTGTGCCTGATCTCATGTACAGTGTCATGGTATAGTGGTTCATACACTTAAGGCTAATCAATCCAAGGGTTGGGGGTTCAAAGCTTGGCAAGACATAATTAATCCACATTTGCCTCACTCTACCCAGGTGTAAGTGGGTACCTAGTATTTGCAGCAGGGGGAATATAATTGCAGGACCCTCAGGAAGAACAGAATTGATGCTTATGAGGCTTTCCTGAGTAAACAAGATCATTAGAAGTATTATGTTGATATTCATATGCATATACAGTCTGAACAACATCTAAATACTGGAAGGTGTAGTTTACAAAATACATCATTCAGGAAAAGATATTCGCCTTCAAGTAAACTTGATTGAAAGGGTGGAGTGTCGGGAGGTTACCAGATCATGAGTACTTGTGGAAAATATCGCTCTGATTAACCTTTTCGGGACAGGATATAATTTTTGGGCTAAATTGATCACATATTGTTCTTCAAATCGGCAACAATAATTTTGTTTATCACTGCAATGATAGATCATGAGTACTATTGGAAAATACTGCGTTGATTATAAAGACATCCAAACACTCTAAGATTTCAGGTTGATCTTCATGTTGATGTTTCCTAAGGAATAATTTTTCAAGAGACATCTCTCAAATTTAAAAACATTCCAAAACACTCTGAATCTGAAAATAATATTGCTTAACTCTCATGGTGGAGGTAAATGAGTTGGACTAGGTGTGCGCTCACTGAAATGCTGGTGTACATGAGCCTTGTATACATCAGGATTTGAATGTATATCTATGGATGGTGGTAAAGAATTCTAGCCTGTAAGTGTTTTCACAGTTGTAAACTTTTGATCTGTGATTGTCAAAAAGTGTATGAATAATCTTTGATGTTCATGTATGAATAATTTGTTTCATATTGATTATTTTGGAAAAGGTATTAAGAAACCATATCGCAGCTCAAGCTCTTAATTACATGGAATTTATACATTGTACAAAGTCATAGAGATATAGAGTAAAATAAAATGTGATACGCAATTTGATTTACATTTTTTTGACAAAAATTGTCATTATAAAACAAAATAAGCAAAGAGATGCACAAATATCAAAACTTACCAATTTCTTTATGGTGAGCAAATGGTGGGCAAGATCAAAGGCTTTGAAAAAAGTCTTCAGAGGGACCGTTGATAAAGATCCTGCTCGATTTGCTTGTCTCTGCTGAGAGTTGAGGGCATCTACGAGGCAACGCGTGGTAGATAGGGTGGGGTACAGACATAAACGTATGAAGGTCACAATTCAAGGTTATTCTCACATTAATTTGTGAGAAGCAGGTGTAAAATGAAAAACGAAAAATGAAAACAAAAAAACTCTTGGAAATGGAGCGATTATTCAAACCCAAGGGCTTAGGAAGAAAAACATGCATGAACTGAAATACATTAGCAAACGGGGTCGTTGTTGTTTTTTGTGATTGGGCATTCTTTCTATACAGAGATGTACATGTTTCCTACTTGTATAAGTCAAGTGGTTTGAAAAAAACGGCTGCAGATGTGAAGGTTGTGGGTTCAATCCCAGCGAAAACAGTGCTATCCTTTGGCAACGCATTAATCCGCATTTACCGCTCTTAACTCGGGTGTATATAATTACGTACTAGGGTTTATTCATTGAAACGAAATGATGATGGCTGCATGAGTCATAAGCCATAATCTTTAATTGCATTGTGAATGAGCTTTACAAAAAATAAGAATCATGCTGCGCTTAACTTGTTTGCTGTATAATTCATTATGAATTTACTAGACTTTAGTGTAATGAGTAAGTATTTTACTTGGCATTTACTTAGCTATTAAAGTATTACATATTTATTCAATTCACTACTTGGATTTAATCAGTATTTTACTTAGCATTTACTTTAATATTTAACTAATATTCAGATCACATGTGAGCATTTTACTTGAGCAAGCCGGTTTTCAGGTAGAAAAGTTACTGATAATCATTGCAACAGAAAACGATGTGATTGAGAAAAGCCATCTGATTGCCTCAACGTGTACTTTCAAATGAAATGAAATGAAATGACAATAAATTACCCCCAACCCTGACAATCACCCCTAAGACAATAAGTTGGTTTTAATAAAAGCAGATTTTTTTCGGGGGTAATTGTCTTCGGGAGGGGAAATGGCAGTGGCGGAACCAGGTAAAAACAGGTAATTTTGAGACGGGCCCCTCCTCTGATGCTCAAGGGGGGGGGGTGCAATTTTTGAACTTGCAATGGAAAAAGAAAATTAGCGCTCACTATCCCCCCCCCCCCCCCCCCCCCCCCCCCCCCCCCCCCCCCCCCCCCCCCCCCCCCCCCCCCCCGCTGGGCTTATTCACCTGCTGGCTGAGTGAACGCTAAATATTTCCAGAAAAAATTGGCCCCCAAAAATAAAAAAGTGCCTCATCTTGGAAAAATCACTACTTTATAATAAAAAGTGATCAACTCGTGATATAATATTCAGTATGTAAACAGTTTTTAATACTGTAGGAAACAACTAAGCATTTTTCCTATCATATCTTTCTAAATATTATTATTCAACTCCTCAAAATATTACTTATTTCAAGTTGGGAAATGAAGCATGTACTATAATCCTTGGATTAAAAAAAAAGAAGATTTAAATGCATTTAAATATATTTGGTCACTACGGGCTCTGATAAAGATAGGATTTAATAAGTTACCTTTATGTCATTGTAGATACAGAAAAGATGACGAACGTACATATGGTATCAATCCTTTCGACCCGGTTTGCAAAGCCTTTAGCTTTGATCACAAAAGTTCTCAGAACCTCTTAGACTTGAACGATTCAAATTACAATAAAACCTACGAGCACCTACTGAGCTAGATGAGTTACTGGAGACATCAGGAATAGTATTGAAATGGGATTACACAAAAAGCGCTCAAAAGTAAAAATCAATAGTTGACTGCTTTATTTCATTTATTTATGAATTTACTTGACAAACTTGTAACATGATCACAACTACTTTCTAAAATTAAAATCAATGGCAATTTTAGTGGCCTAATTAATGCATATCCTCCCAAAATAATGTTCGCATTGAGAAATACGCCATTGTAATGTTCGCGTATTTCTAGAGGTGATGGACGAGGGAAATGTCTGAAGTTGGCAACAGAAGTTGGCGGTCTCCTGCGTTCATATATACTGTTTATTGTAAAAAAAAAATATAATTTCAAATATGTGTTTTTTCTTTATGTTTTTAAGAGTAATTTGTTAATATCTGTAAATATACTAATGAATGTAATTCTGCATAAAGTTATTGAACGCATTTGTTTAAAAACAAACAAACAAAGAAGTTGATTTTTCAAAAGTAGTTGAGATCTTGTTTTGTCTATTATTCATGCATTATCTCATATTCATTATTGATTGCCATTGTTATATACATGTATCTTATCAATGTTAGCTGTATGCGAATTGTGAGTACCGGTATGAATTTGATGAATTTTCTTGTGACTGAATTTTACATAAACTATACTGAATTTAGAGGGGGTGATAACATTTAATCAGAATGTATACTTCGGTTTAAAAGGAGTTTTCTAATTTTGCTTCTATTTTGATTATGTACATGGTATAAATAAGCCTATTGAGCATTGCGGAATATATACAACTGTCAAGAGGGGCCTATCTATCAACGTTTACGTGTAGACATATTTGGAAATAAAAATATATTTGACAGTGAAAGCAAATGATCAATACAGTGTAATGATCACATACTATTGTAAATGTCTTATCTTGTGACGAATTGTATAGATCATGGAGATTATTCTAAAATGGTGTAGAAAGAAGATAGAGTATAAAAGACGCTTGCTTACATTATATTTTATCACCTGATGAAGTGTTGCAGCGGCACACGAAACGTCGTGATCTTTTAGATCCCTAATTGACCATTTATTGCGAGACAAACGAATATCACTAGCGATATTATTTTTGATAACTTTAGTAATGTTTGACGGATTTTAATTAAATTTGATATGAAGGTACTGTACATGGTGTCAAGACACAGCCTAAGTTCGATTTTGGATCGAGTATGTAGGTCAAAGGTCATAGCTCATTAAATATGTGAATCTGGTTTCCGTTTGATAACTTAAATAAGGTTTGACGGATTTTAATGAAATTTGATATGAAGGTACATGGTATCAAAACACAGCCTAAGATTGTTTTAGGAGTATGAAGGTCAAAGGTCATAGCTCATTAAATATGCGAATCTGGTTTCCGTTCGATTAGTTTAGTAATGTTTGACGGATTTTAATCAAATATTTCTGAAAGTGTTGAATATATACATTTGAGTAAAATATATTTGTTGAAAGTGTCGCATATATTTATTTGCTTCCTTAAAGGCGTGTCATAAGGTTCTGAAAATGATTGCAATCACTAAAGTCGGTTCGACAACATTACCAACGGTCGTTTTTTCCCCACAAAAATACATATTCAAGCCCTTTCGTTTTGAGGGAAGTTCTTAATTAGTATTATCTTTAAAATGCATGTGAGGACATAGTACCTTTAAGTGGAACAAACTCTATGAAACTTAGAGATTTACCTTGTTATGTAGTGTAACCTTGTAATATCAGGATTTGGGACTAAACTAAAATAGATTATAAGGAAGTGGGAATGGCCAAATTATCTTGCTTGAACCTATAGAAGTTGAGATTTTTTTCATTTTCTAAATTAATCCACTTTTCCTCCTTAGATTAGCAAAAATTAATCCCATTTTCCACTCCTTCATATTTTGAAGGAAAAAAAATGTTTATTAAATGAACCAATGTCGAAGAAAATTGCAAAATGTAATTAGAAAATTGCCAATTTGTACATAGAAATAGTGATTTGATGTTATATTGTGTTCCGCGTTGCCAAATTAGAGACTTTGATGATTAGTTACAATTTTTTCCCAAAATGGCACAATGTGCCGCATTTGAAATAGACCGTCACATTTTCTCTTATTTTTGCTCATTCTGCTAATATATGATGTGTAATTCCCAGCATTCTGGATCGAAAGATAATGCACAAAAGTCACCAATAAAGGAGACATAGTACTGCTATGTTAATTATAATGAGTTTGTGATAACAGTGTTCTTTACGATGAGGTTTCACTGCATTGTTTTGTTTTAAAGTTCCCAATATGATATATCGAGGAATTGTCTCCTCTTCTAGTTTGTCTTGGCATCATTGCAGTGTCTAACGTATTTCAGATATGAGCTCTATTCATGTCTCCTAATGTAATATATTGTTATATTCCCGAAATCTCATTGAGATGCTTCTTCTTGGTATACAGTACAGTAGGAAATGTACATTCCAGTGTAGGAAGTGGTGTAATGTTAAGATGTGATGTTTAGATGGCAGAAGTGTGTACTATCAACTTGAACTTGAGACTTCATATATTTTAATGAATTTTTAAAGAATTATAACGTTATTTTGACTCTGTATTAGTGTCACTTGTTTTTATTGTATTTCAACTGATTTATATGATATCCAATACATGTAATTATCCTGTTCGCGATCATGCAACACAACCGTCTACGTTTATATAATGTTTATGGTATATCTATAATGTATAATAGTTTATTTGCGCAGTTTAGCTTGGTATTTTACCAAGTAGGTAATCGCAGAATAAATGTTTTTAAAGCATTATCTACGCAGGGTGTGTTGATTTAAGGCTGTTGTTGTTGTTGTTATGATAGAAATGGTCTGCATGAAGACTTGTAGACTTTCAGAAAATAATACAGAATTTCTTTTAATAAAGAATTTGATACCAAATTTCCTTGTTGCTTTGTTGTTGTTTTTACTTCAATTTTAACTGCTTTGGATGTGTTGCAAACAAAGGCATCACCAGGGTCTCAAACGTGGAGGGTGGGAGGGGGGGGGGGGGGTAATAAGTAACGGCATAGGGGATGGCTTTTCAAATTACAGGTGTTAAAAGACATTTTGGTGTTTAGTTTTAAGAAGAATTCCTTTAACATTTTGAGGACTGATGCTATGATGTCCCCCTAATTTTGGTTGGGATAAGGGGGTATATCCCCCTCTCCACTGCTTGTTGGTTAGATGTGATCAGAATTTACATTTTAAAATACCAATGAACTTCAGCTACTCGAATCTGCGTGGGATATACATTGTTTCTGTTGGTTCGAGTACAAAGTAAATGAGTTATTGTTCTAAAGGAAACCAGAAAAATCAGACGTGCAGATCTGATTGGTGGATGTGAACCTAAGAGAGCAAACAACAAGAGAATTGTGATTTGTAAAGAGTTGTACATGATTGTGATTACTATACATATTATGGGAATTTAAAATATTACACATCAATATTCTTCGAATTTGACAAGTCAAGTCATGATTCGTAAAGATGAAATATAATGCGCAGAGGGTCAGGCACGTAGCCACGGGGGGGGGGGGGGGGGGGGGGGGGGGGGGGGGAGGGGGGGGGCACGTGCCCCCCAAAATTTCCATGGATGGGTTGAACATTTTTTTACCTCGATCGATTACATGTATGTGCCCCCCCCCCCTGTTGTTGTTATTGTTAGGCCAACTTGGCCATTGTGGTAAGTGGTTTTGCAACGTACAATGCTACCCTGTACAAATAAAACTACAAATAAATCAGTTAATAAAAAATGTATTGTGATGACAACAGAGATTGAGTTTCGTCCTTATACAAATAGCCCCCCCCCCCCACGCTCTACTTACAGCATCCCCATTTATTTTTCTTAAAGAACCAATCCTTCTAGTTCTATACAGTGCGTATAAAAAACAAAGTGTACCCAACTTTGAAATCTAATCACAGAATTATAACTTATGTGACCTTAAATCATATTTAATTGTAAAGAAGAACTAAGAACATGTCTATAATGATACCATTTTCATACCATAATGCTGCCAAGGATGACTCAACAGCAGGCTTTTCAAAAAGTATTGTCAAAATCCGCTTGTACCAAGGTTTTGGGTAAAGTAATGCATGGGGGGGGGGGGGCGCTGGTACTAGATGCGTTTCGAAACTCCTTTTTCTCAACATGTGATTTTAGTTGTGCAGTGGATCCGTTCTAGCAACGTTGAATATCATTCATGCTGAAGACATAATTTGTTCGCCTTCTTCAATCGAAGAAGAAGTACATTCACCCTTCTTGGTTTCTTTGATTGCTTACCGGAAGTATTGGCGACTCAA